ATACTTATTCATTTAATAACTAATTAAAAATTCATTATAACCTTGCATTCTGGCACCCTTCTGCTATGCTAGCCCTAATATAATTTTCCCTAGCTTTCACACTTGGCATAAAGTTGGGTTTTAAATTATTTTAGCAACAATAAACGGTGATTTCAAACTATGCAACAGTCCTTTTCTTCCTATTCTTTTCTTTTAGCAAAAGAACATGAGTTTGTTGCAAAACAACTTACAAAACTGATGTTATAAGTTCAAATTTTGCTTGTACCATTTATTTGAAGCCATAGTGAAGTTACATAGCTTAGAGTGTCTTAACTGTGCAGCATTAACAAAATCACCTGTCCCCTAGGGTCGTCGGATGACCGGCTTAGAATAGGCCCATTACATAAGGAAACTGGTCAAGACCAACCACTTACCAGATTAGTGCTGGGTATTTGTGGGCCTTCCTTTAGTTGCAGTTCTTACCTGATCTGAGTGTTTTTTGTTGTTGTTTTGCTTTTGGTTGTAGGGCTTGAACTCAGGGCTTGGGTACTGTCTCTGAGCTTTTTCACTCATGTCTAGTACGTTACCACTTGAAGCCATAGTGCTACTTCGGTTTTCTGGTGGTTAACTGGAGGTGAGTTTCATAGACTTTCCTGCACAGCTGGCTCTGAACCACAGTCCTCAGATGGTAGCTTCCTGAGTAGCTAGATTACAGGCCTGATTGAACTTTTAAATTTCAGTTCTTATCAGTCCTTATGTTATAATCCTTATGTCTTTCCTCCTGAGGAAAATTTGTTAACAGTGTAAAATGTTTTGGGTCAATGTTGTCTTCACAATCTATTTAATGTAAAACACCTACTTTTCTTAAAGCTGGTATTTTCTAGTTGGGGGTGAACTGTATAGCCATTTATAAGTGTTGCCACTTTGTGCTCTATGTAGAATATGCTTCAGTTTTTCTTAGAATGTAGTTTTGATGTTAAGCACTTATTTATATGTCTATATGTCTAGATGAGCCTAGCTGTAATTCAGTTTCAGGATTAAGATTTTTTTTTTAAAAGGTAAATCTGTCAAGAAATGTAATGTTATATGGTAAATCACTATCTGATCTACTCAGAAATTTTCAGTGGTTTGGATTACTGGTCACAATACATTTTACTTAATCATCTTTAAAAATTTTTTGGCAGTACTAGGGCTTGAACTTGGGACCTCATGCTTGCTCGGCAGGTACACTACCACTTAAACCAAACTTCTAGCCCTTTCTGCTCAGGTTATTTTTGAGATAGGGCCTCACACTCCTACCCAGGCCAGTCTAGATAGATTGTAAACCTTCTATGTACATTTTCTTCCATAGCTAGGAAGACAGCTATGCACCACCATGCCCAGCTTCCTGTTCAGATCTGGTTGATTTTTGCCTAGGTTGCCCTTGACCTTTGAGCCTCCCAATCTTCAAATCTCCAGAGCAGCTGGTATTATAGGTGTGAGCAGCAGCGCGAGCATCTGGCTAAACTGTCTTCCAAACTTCTACAAATTTTTGGTACCATGGAAAAGCCAAACTACTGTACCTTCTATTTGTATATTTCTATTCTATCTTGTATATCTATTTCTGTATTACATATAGTATATATGATATAAATCACATAGGATTATATCTATATATTCTTTGGTTCAAGAACTGGGGGAGAGCAAAGGAAGGGGTAAAAATGTCCAAAAAAAGAAATTGCTCATTACATGCCTTATTAAATGGTAACCTCTCTCTGTATATCACCTTAATAAAATTATTTTTTTAAAGAATACCCACACAGAAGACACTTAGAAAAAACAAGAGTAACCTCCGAATAATCAATTTTTACATCTGAAAGAGTGGTCCAAGACAGGGGTAATTATCAACTTGAAAAGTTATGTATGATAACTCATCATACCTTTTTTTTTTTTTTTGCCAGTACTGGGGCTTGATCTCAGGGCCTGGGCACTCTTCCTGAGATTCATTTGCTCAAGGTTAGAACTCTATCACTTGAGCCACAGCGTCACTTCTGGCTTTTTCTGTTTATGTGGTACTGAGGAATCAAACCCAGGGCTTCATGCATGCTAGCCAAGCACTAAGCCACATTCCTAGCCCCAATCATACCTTTTTGATTTTACCAGACTAATTTTCTTAAAATGTTACCAGCATAAAACAGAATACTTGTTTTCTCCTATGACCTAATAGTGTAACCCCACAATTAAAATTAAAAAAATTTAAATTGATGATTGTTAGTCATAAAGGCACAAATACAGGCTAAACTTCTTTTTCTTTTCAGCGCTCACCTTTGCTCTGGGAGCCCTTCTTGTGTGTATTTCCATATATCTCTATGGATTACCCAGACAAGATACTACATCCATTCAACAAGGAGAAACAGCTTCAAAAGAGAGAATCATTGGTGTGTGATTTGAGCCTTACAAGATTCATATTATGACTGAACTGTTTGCATTGAACTAGAGCCTTAAGTCAATCCCAGAAGGTAGGTTAAAGAGCAACAACAATCAGTGAACTGTATGGCATTGAATTAATAAGAAAGCTGTATACAGGAAATGCTAATACAGAGATTTAATGTGAGCTGCTTGGACCAATCTGAACTGTTTTACAATGAAGGAATTTAATTACTGTATATATACATATATTGTGTACATAGAAAATGTAGAAATATTTAAAATCATGTGATGCTACAATATCTGAGTAACAAGGTGTGGGACAGTGTATAAGGGTTAAAGTGCCAAAGCCATTTCTGTCCTAACTGTTCTCTTGTTCAGGTATTGGGGAGATGGACAACCCCTCCTTGTTCTTTGATTCATGTACAGCAGTTACCCCAGCAACAATTAAGCTCTTTCTTAGAAAAGAGGCAGAGACAGGACAGGCTAGTTCAGACACATACTGTGTTTAACTTCTGAAACTGAATCTGTCTCCTAACTCGGTGATTTCTAGGTGGTGACTGAACTGAGAACTCCTTTAGTGCTGTATTTATTTGTACTGTTTTTTCTCTGGTTCATGTTCCTTTACTGTAGATGATATTCTTTTCACAAAATTTTCTAATGTCACTTTTCTACTTTTTTAAAAAATATAAAATATAGTTAATTGTTGGGCTTTCAATAATTTATTAAATTTGTGATTAAAAAATCTTTCTATAATATTAATTGGGAAAATTCAGCAATAAACCTTATTTATCAGTTCTGTTTTTTTTTTTTAAATTTTGGTTCTGTGTGTACAATTGTGTAAAATAAGGCTGTTTTCATGTAATAACTACAATCCAGTTTTGGTAAGAATGACTGCAAGCTGGGCACTGGTGGCTCATACCTGCAATCCTAGCCACTCAGGAAGCTGAGACGTGAGGATTATGGTTTGAAGCCAGACTAGGCAGGAAAAATCTATGAAACTTTTATCTTCAATTAATCACAAAAAGCCAGAAATGTATTTGTGGCTCAAGTGGTAGAGCACTAGCCTTCAGAGAACTCAGACAGCTCCCAGGCTAAGTTCAAGTCCCAGTACAGCATTCTCCCCCGCCCCGGCCCCCCCCCCCCCCAAAAAAAAAAAGACTACAGTCAGGGATACAGTGCTTTCTAGGTTGTAGTAACTAAAAGTCTTTTTAGGGAGCTGCTTTTGTTGAAGACTTGACTGTCAGCATCACTGTCCCTGCATCTTTCCACTCAAGATCAAAACTTGATTGCTGGGAATGTGGCTTAGTAAGTGGTAGAGTGCTAGCCTTGAGCAAAAGAAGCTCAAGGACAGTGCCCAGGCTCAGAGTTCAAGCCCCAGGACTGGCAAAAATAAATATCTGTTAAGATCAAAACTTTATACTAGGAGAAAAGTGTTTTTAAAAGAAGTGGAAAGGGGGCTGGGAAGGTGGCTCAGTGGTACAGCGCTTGCCTTGCATGCCTGAGGCCCTGGGTTCGATTCCTCAGCACCACATAAGCAAAAAGAAAAAAGCCAGAAGTGGCGCTGTGGCTCAAGTGGTAGAGCGCTAGCCTTGAGCTGAAGAGCTGAGGGATAGCGCCCAGGCCCAGAGTTCAGACCCCACAACCGGACCCAAAAAAAAAAAAAAAATGGAAAGGGATATTGGGTGTGTAAAATATATCCTGACTATATTTTTATTCCATGGCTGGTCTGTGCTAATGGAATCTTAATGCTACGTCAGAAATTAGCAATCTGGAAGCCAATTTAATTATCAAGTGCATGGATGACTATTCTCTAAGATGAAGAAGGTAAACCAGTCTTGCTAATACAAAAAAAATTTCATTCTCATTGGGGAGATTTTGGTCCATGCTAGTTTGTTTCTCTTTATGTACAAATGGATGGCCATGCTGATCAAGGATTCATGAGATTGAAACAGCTCATACTGAGTCAAGTCACATAGAATCCACCTTTCTGATATGTAGAAACTTAAAAACTTTCACTTCTAGGACTGGGAAGGTGGCTCAGTGGTAGAGCGCTCGCCTTGCAAGCTTAAGGCCCTGGGTTTGATTCCTCAGCACCACATAAGCAGAAAAAAGCTGGAAGTGGCGCTGTGGCTCAAGTGATAGAGCGCTAGCCTTGAGCTGAAGAGCTGAGGGACAGCACCCAAGGCCCAGAGTTCAAGCCCCACGACTGGACCCCAAAAAACAAAAAAAACCCCAAAACTTTCACTTCTAATTATGGTGCCACTGATGAACTGTGCTTTACAAAATGAGATAATACAGTGTACAAGTAATTCTTCACTATTCAAATGAATTCAGTCCCTGAGTTCACATAGTAAGTAGTAGGTACATAGCATATAAAAGGCAAGTATGAACAGTTTCTCTCTGGGCAGCTGTCAGGTAAGTTTTTAATCTGTTTGTCCATTACTGGCCCTAATAAAAAAAAATCTGTCCCCCCCAACATTTGATAAAAACACTGGATCTCAGTTACAAAAACAGTTTATGGAAGAATGCTATGTTAAGAGGCTGTATGACAGAGTTTAAGTCCTAATTCTTTTGTTTAGGTTTTTTCAAATACCTAGATACCTGGTGACTATGAGAGAACTCATTTGTATGGATAAAACTAAGTTGATTAGTTGTTTAATAGAATAAATTCTGGTATAGAATTATAGTTTAAATTCTGTCCTAAACAAGTCATCTAAAAATAACTAGAGTTCTTTTTTTAATATTTTAAAAAGCCATTTTAATTAGAAATTACATCCTATATACAGGTGTTATTCCAAGAAGTTTCATTCCATTGACTAGGACAGAACGGACAGCTTTGAAGAGTTGAAGTCTGGCCTGCAAAATAAAGAATGATTAAGTAACCAGTAACAGGCTAACTACAAGTAAATAAGAATGGTTTTTTTTTTTTTTAAATCATGGGGCTTAAACTCAGGGTCTGGGCACTGTCCCTGAGCTTTTTAGCCCAAGGCCAGTGCTCTACCATTTTGAGCCACAGCTCCATTTCCAGTTTTTGAGTGGTTAATTGGAGATAACAGTTTTACAAAGACATTTCTGCCCTGGCTGGCTTCAAATCACAATCCTCAGATCCCTCCTGAGTAGCTAGGATTACAAGCATGAGCAATTGGCTGGCACCCAGCTAATGGTTGGTTTTATAAATCTTGAAAGTAGGAACAACACTCCAAAGTGCAATAGATTGACAAAAGGCAAGGAAATATAAATTCTAGCATCTATTACAGTAAGACTGATACAAAAGGGTCGGTGGAGTAGGAGTTGGAATTAATCACTCTTAATACCTAATGCAAGGAAATGTGTTTCACAGTGTATTTTGAGACGTATATGAACATTAGCTGTCTCAGCCCAATTAAAATTATCTGAGTAAGGAAGTACACAGCTGTGTCTAAACGACATTATTTTAGGAAAGTTTACAAGATTATTAATACTTTATAATATTAGTCTGAGGCTAAGGATTATGAAGAAATATAACATACCCCAGCCACTTCAGGTGGACTATCTTTTATTTGGAGTGTTTTATGAGCCACAGATGCAAGATGACTGAAACAAAAATAGGGAAGAGAAATCTTAATGAGAATCAGCAGTTAATTGCCTATTGTAGATATAAGCCTGATATCCAGCCCTACTCCCTCAACTTAAGTTGAAGCCTCTAATCACTAAAGAAAGTAACCAAAATTGAGACTGGAATTCACTGCTTTTCTAGTACTCAACCCATGCTTTAGCTTTTAGTCATGGTTCTACTATCAAGAAGCAGGTTCTTCAGATTTTAATTTTGTTAGTTTTACAAATACAGGCTATTGCTTTCTAACATTATTTCCCTTATTTAGATAGCCTTTAAAATCAAAGGGCAGGGCCTTTTTCAGTAGAGTAAGAAAGTTGGATAGAGATTTTTTTTTTGTTAGTCATGGGGCTTGGCATTGTCCCTCAGTTATTCAGCTCAAGGCGAGCACTCTACCACTTGAGCCACTTGAACCACTTCCAGTTTTCTGAGTGGTTTATTGGAGAGAAGAGTCTCACAGACTTTCCTGCCTAGGCTGGCTTTGAACTGTGATCCTCAGATCTCAGCCTCCTGAGGATTACAGATGTGAGCCACCAGCACCTGGCCTCTTTAGAGATTGGTTTTTAATCTGCTGTGCGCGCGCACGCGCGCGCACACACACACACACACACACACACACACACACGATAAAACTGCCCTACAACCTGGCCTCTTTAGAGATTGGTTTTTAATCTGCTGTGTGCGCGCACACACACACACACACACACACACACACACACACACACACACACACACACACACACACGAGATAAAACTGCCCTACAAAGCAGAATTTCCTTCTTAGTTTTATGGGAAGACACAGGTGTTAAATTAAGAGTAGACTCAACTTTTATTCAAGGTTTAATAAAATAACCATGGAATTTTTTTATCAAGTTAGTATTGACAACGTGCATCCCAATTCTTTCTCTACCTTCTAGCTGAATGATTTTTCTGTGCCTTAGCTTAAAACCTCTAATGGGCCCAACTGCTCCACAAAAAGTAGTCTATACACTTTGTATTCATACACTGTTTTGTAGAGTGGGAACTTCTTTGTACAACCACTTAAAGATAAAATAATAAAAAAAAGTAGTCTATAAACAGCCGAATGGCCCACACACATCATTTCTCATCCATTCAAAGGATGTTTTGTAGTTCTTGCTCTTCCTGGGCCTGTTCTCCTTCCTAACTTACTGCTTCTCCCAATTACTATCTCCTGCTTTACACTGAGTGCCCTCCAATCTCTTAAGGCTGGTTAGATGAAGATCATCTCACATCACAACACACATGACACTTGGCTGTAACTCCTCCATCATTATCATTGTTGATTCCTATTCATTAGACGATATCATAGAATGAATGTCTATGACTTACTAGTTGGCAAAGATAAGACAGACATTCTTGTGACTTAAAGCAAAAACATACCAAGTTTTAGAGAAAGGGATGTTTAGATGAAAGAAATGCCTTGAAAACTGGAAGATTATTACTTACCTTAGAGTTAGAAGGTAACTAACAATGTGCCTGGGTTGAAGGTCCTGAGATGTTCTATAAATCACCTCATCGAACCTAAAAGATGACAGGAACAACAAGCAGGGACAGACTGTGCATGTTACACTAAAGTGAGATGTTAAGATGTTAAAGGATGGCAGATGTCAAACTCACTTGACACCAAATATATAAAAATCCTTGAAAGCAAATACTAAGTCATCTAGTGCTATCAGTGAAGCCTAGTTCAGAGTAAAGACTTGAATCATGGATGTTAGAATTAATATATAAAGCCTGTAGCCATGCTGAAAAAAAAAATTGTTTTTGCTAGCAACATTTACCCACAAGGCTAAGTAAGGTTGGTTTATTTTCCCTTCCAGATTACATAGATGTAGCTGGGTGCTGGTGGCTCAAGCCTGTAATCCTACCCGGGAGGCTGAGATCTGAGGATCATGGTTCAAAGCCAGCCCAGGCAGGAAAGTCTGTGACACTCTTATCTCCAGTTAACCACTATAAAACTAGAAATAGCACCATGGCTCAAAGTGGTAGAGCGTTAGCCCTGAGAGAGCTCAGGGACAACCAGTCCCTGAGTTCAAGCTCCATGAGAACCTCCCCCTCCCCCACACATACAAAAAGAAATTAGATGCATGTGAGCAAATTTTTCTGTTTCCAGAAAAAGAACCATTGACCACTGTGTGGCAATCAAAGAAAACTGCCTGTTTTTAACCAACCACAACCCTTCTGAAAACTAATCTCTACTGACACAGCTACAAAGTGTGGTTTCCTATAGTGTAGGGGAATCAGCCAATCAGACTTGAGCTGAACTGAAACCAGGAGGCAAGAATAAAGACTTAGTCTTCGGAAAGCTGCACAAAGGCAGGGATTTCCTTGACTGATCTCAGAGGTCAAGAAGATGCTCTTCCAAAACTCAAAGCTTATCTGTTTATCAAGCTTCCCCTTCCAGACAATGGACTAGAGAGGCGTCTATGCTAATTCAGTGGTGATCATATTTTTGAGGCTCAAGGGCTGACTTTTCAGCAATGGCTTAAGCTGTGCCCTCCCTCTGGCCTCAAAGGTAACAATCACTTTTGGGGCATACCTTTAGGAAAAGTCTAAAAGATAGGAGGCAACCAATGGCCTACATCCCTAATGGTCAGCAAAGATAGCAACCAAAAGTTAATTCAACACACAGGAGCAAAACTACCAGAAAACCCTCATACCTGAGAAGATGCTGGAGAATTGAAACAGATTGTGGCTCTTGTAAACAAGCAGTGTTGAAGTCATTCAGATAACCACATCCAAAAGTCTCTTCCAAACTGTTACCAAAGGATTACAGTTAAAAACATTCAACGAACACACAAGTCATCTAAGGGTAAGTAACTGCATGTGATGAATACTACCTCACAGTATACTATATAAAGAATGCTAAGTCTCCTTAATACAGCCCTAGATGTCAACATTTTGTGACCTGAATCCTCAATTCTCCCTACCTTTTTTTTCTGTTTATAAAATGTAGGTAACCCTTCTCTGGCATTGTTATTCTGATAGTGAGATAAAACAATATAATTAAAAGCATTTGTTACATAGTGCTTAATAAAATAGCTAACAATAAAAGATCTGATGAGTTTTAGTCAGTTTTAAAAGATGTTAGAAGGAAGGATGGAAGCTTCTTCTTACCTGTGGAGGCGAGCATGTGTGTACTGGAGGAAGACTCCTGTGTCCCCTCGACTCTGGAAAATACGATCCCAGCTGAACTGATAGTCAGATAAGAGTAAACCTTTGAAATCCTAAAATGAGAGAAGTTTTCAGCCCTGGGATCTGTTCAGATACCAAACCAAAAAGCCTCATAGGTGAAGGAGTCATAGCAGACCTGAATGATGAGCGCTGCAAGTCCCACCTTCTCTGCAGTCTGCTGTGGGTCCTCAAGTTTTTTACTGGCTGAAACAGACAAAGGCACCTCTCTTTAACCTGAAGGACCCTTTGAATTATGAATAAAGTAGAGGGAAATTATGAGTAAAGTAGATGGAAAAAAATCAGCCCAAAGTTTTGTATGCTGACAATAAAGAATAAACAAACAGGCAATTTACCTTCCAAATGTAAGCTAACTTACAACATAAACACATTTTTTTTGGTCTATGTTAAAGGGAAGAAATGTGAATTTTTAAAAAATATGATACACAGCTAATGCTTATTTTTCCAGGGGTGAAGGTTAAAGTGTGAACTTATGACTTGAATCCAACCTGTTAACAACACAGGAATTTCAGAGAATGATTCAGATAATCAGATTATGATACTGAAGCTGTCCATGAAAAGAGGACCAAGGTTATGTCAATTCAGATTATATTATATATTTATGTAGATAGATAAAATATATATATAAAAATATAAAATTTATATAAAATAGCAGCCAGCCTGAAATCCTTGGCATTTCAGATTGGGGCAAGAAAACTACTGTGGCACAGTAAAAGTTCAATGACAGGACAGTTAAAATAAATCACATTGCCCAAAGTCCAGCAAAACGCAGAAGTGGCATATAAGTAGGGTATGACTAAGAAAAATGGACTCACTCTTAATGGAGGCCATGTTCTGTAGCATCCTTAACCGAATCTCATTTAAGACATCTTCCAGAAAAGTGACCTCTCCTCTTCTAGTCTTCATTCCCTGCACTACTCCAAAGGGCACATGTTGGCATCTGAAATAAAAAGGCATTTGTTAAGTATAAGCTGCCAGTGTGTTCTAATACCAGTTCATAGAGTAGCTTGACCTTTATTCTTATATTGGAGGTCGTAAGAATAAAGAAAATGAGCCACCCATCAGTGGCTCATGCCTATAATCCAAGCTACCCAGGAGGTTGAGATCTGAGGATCAAAGCCAGCCAAGGCAGGAATGTCTGTGAGACTCTTATCTTCAATTAACCACCAGAAAAACTGGAAGTGCACTGTTGCTCAAGTGGTGGAGCTCTACCTTTGAGCTGAAGATCTCAGGGATAGCACCCAGGCCCAGAGTTCAAGCCTCATGACCGACCACAAAAAAAGAAAATGAAACAAGATGTGAATTGCTGTATATCACCACAAAGCATACTGGACAGAGCTTCATCTCACAGACATAACTAGCATGTGATTAAATCACTGGTTGCCTTTATGAAGAACAGAAGGGGATTAGTCCTGTTAGAAATCAAAACACTAAGATGTCTATAAATACTTATCAGGACAAAAATTACTATGAAAACTAAATCTGCTTAACCTGAAGTCTATTTTATTTTTTTTTGTCCCTCATGGGGCTTGAACTTTGGGCCTGGGTGCTGGTGTCCCTCAGCTCTTCAACTCAAGGCTAGCACTCTACCACTTGAGCCACAGTGCCACTTCTGGTTTTCTGAGTGGTTTACTGGAGATAAAGAGTCTCACAGGTTTTCTTGCCTGGGTTGGCTTTAAACTGCAATCCTCAGATCTCAGCCTCCTGAGTAGCTAGGATTACAGGCGTGAAACACCGGCACCTTGCCTTAACCTGAAGTCTATGGAAATCAAGGTAGGTATGTTTTCAGATTTGGATGACCTAAAAAACCATTTGTAACCTTAAGCAGGTAATTGTGAACCATGTAGATATTACCTTTCTGCCCAGTCATATCCCATGATCTTCAGCATTTGAAACACTTGCTGAAAATGCTTCTTCTGCCCTTTATCTGTCTTGGAAGAAAATGTATTTAAAAATTAAAAAAAAAATGTTAAGCCATTATTTAAAATCAAGGTCAAACCTGAATCAAATGAACATATAGAGAATTTTGACAGACTAATATCATTGTCTAGCAATGTATTATAAACAAAAAGAATGCTTTTCTGTGTGTGCTGATGCTAAGGCTTAAATTCAGGCCCTCAAGTTCTCACTTGGCTTGCTTGCTCATAGTAGTGGCTCTATCACTTGAGCCAGGTCTCTAGTCCTGGTCTTTGCTAGATGTTTTGGAGATGAAGTCTTGTGAACTTTTCTGCCTGAGCTGTCTTTGATCTTGGCTTCCTGAGTAGCTACAATTCCAGGCTACCAGTACCTGAACCTGGCCAAGATCTTTCTTTTTTTCTCTTTTTTTTTGGGAGGGGGGGAGACACAGAAATGGATAGAGGAAGGGTGAGCCAATGCAATCATTATATTCCATGTAAAAAAATGAACTATGTAATTTATGGGTAGGAACTGGAGGGGGAAATTGGGAGAGAAGGAAGAAAGGGGTGTCACTTTCTTTTTTTTGGGGGGGTCCGGTCATGGGGCCTGAACTCTGGGCCTGGGTGCTGTCCCTCAGCTCTTCAGCTCAAGGCTACCACTTGAGCCACAGCGCCACTTCCGGCTTTTTTCTTTTTGCTTATGTGGTGCTGAGGAATAGAACCCAGGGCCTCAGGCATGCAAGGCAAGCGCTCTACCACTGAGCCATCTTCCCAGCCCAGGGGTGTCACTTTCAAAAAAGCATTGTACTCACCACCTGACGTGTGTACAATTACTAACAAAAAATGAAAAAAAATAGTTTCCAAGCTGAATGCTCTACAGAGAAGGAAACAAGAGCTGTAGCTTTCTCAGTCAAATGGGATTATTTAATCTTCTGACTATTCTATTTAAACTCCTCCCTTCTCAGTTGTTCTGACCTTTAAGGAAACCAAAGTAAAGCTTTAAAAGGATGGTTGCTAGTAACTTTCTTCGTAGAAAAGGTGGTCTTCTTTAGTAGGAAAGGACTGAAATAGAAGGCCCTTCAGCAATACAGGGAATGTACTATTGAAATATCAAGTCTGGATGGGTCTCAAGGGCATTCACAATGCTGAGTGCAAAGTCAATCTCAGAATGGCCCACCCAATACAGTTCCACTTATATAATGCTTTCCAAGTGACAAAATTTATGATAGAGAACAGGGTTAGGGTTAGAAGGTGTGATTGTTAAGTGGTTAACCATGAAGGAGTCTGTCTTCAGATATAAACAGTTCGTTATTTTGAATGCAGTGATAATTATAGAAATCTATACATGTAATAAAATTTCATAAAACCAAGTCACACAAAAGTACACACAGAAACTGGTGAAATTTTAATGTAGTCTCTACAAATGCTGACAAAGTTCTACGGTCACGGTAGGATATTATCTTTGCCAGGAGCTGGGTGAAGGGAACACGGAAATACTGTAATATTCTTTTAAGTTATTTCAAAATAAAAAGTTCTTTCAAACAATTGATTACACTACACTGATTTGCACATAATAGTTTCATAAAATAATTTACCTGACACGGGCTTTTTTTTTATAGCTATGAAGTATGTGAACTTTTTGATACTTAAATATCTCTCCATTGGCTTTTTTGCTCAAGGCTGGCACTCTACCACTTGAGCCACATCTCTACTTCCATCTTTTTGCTGGTTGTCTCCAACTAACCTGCCTTTTCTGCCTTTTGGCTTTTTTCCCCTCAGTACTGGAACTCAGGGTCTCCTGCTCTTGCTTAACTTTTTTATTCTACCACTTGAGTCACATCTCTACTTTCAGCTTTTTCCTGGTTAACTGGAGATAGGAGTTTCTGGAATTTGTGTGCCTGGGATGGCTTCAAACTACAATCCTCAGATCTCAGCCTCCTGAGTACTTAAGTTTACAGGCTTGAGTCACTGGTGCCCAGCAGATACTTCACCAGTGTCATGCAGATACTTAGGACTTATAAAACAATTTTTAGGGGGCTGGGAAGGTGGCTCAGTGGTAGAGCGCTTGCCTTGCATGCCTGAGACCCTGGGTTCGATTCCTCAGCACCACATAAGCAAAAAGAAAAAAGCCGGAAGTGGCGCTGTGGCTCAAGTGGTAGAGCACTAGCCTTGAGCTGAAGAACTGAGGGACAGCGCCCAGGCCCAGAGTTCAGGCCCCACGACCGGACCCAAAAAAAAAATAATTTTTTTTTTAAACAGAAGTTGCCACTTTGCACTAAATAATGAAATCACTCGGAAGTTTGACAAAATTGTTTTCCCTCATTTTTGCAACGCTGTCTCTAATTTCTGTATCTCCTTAGTTTTTATGAGGTAGGTGTCACAACCTTTCATTCTTTTATTGCCAGTCCTGGGGCTTTATCTCAGGACCTCAGTGCTGTCTCTGAGCCTTTTTTGCTCAAGGCTAGTACTCTACCATTTGAGCCACAGCTCCACTGCATTTTTGGCAATTAATTGGAGATAAAGAGTTTCCCAGACTTTCCTGCCTAGGCAGGCTTCGAACCACAATCCTCAAATCTCAGCTCCTGAGTAGCTAGGATTATCTTTCATTCATTATAATGATTACTTACCACATAAATCATTGTATCAAAATTATATTTATCCATTCGATCTATTGCAGCTGCAAGATCTCTGAAAAATATGGGTAAAGTTATATAGATCTGAGTAATAATTACTTTAACCTGTTTAATAACAGACTTTTCTACTTCAAACTCTTCCCTACAGTTTAAGTTTGTGCTTATCTAGTCACAATATATTGTGATACAAAATTATAATTTGGAAAAGAAATTCTAAATGCTTTTGGAAAAGTGATTAAAAAAACACCCACTAAAGATAAGGTTCTAGAACAAGTAGCATTAAAAAAAAAAAAAAAACAGCTTTGGGCAAAGTACCTCATAGGCAAGTTTTATGATTAAGTCTCTATTAAAAAGAATCCTCTAAATGTCATTATTTTCCAATAGTGAAGTATCTTTTAGCCACTCTTTTATTAGTGCTATTAAGAACTTTCAAAATCTTGGGCCTCTCAAAAGCTATCTTCTAGTACATTTTCTCTCTCATCCTCCCACGTCTCTCTTCTTATTTTATTTTTTTGGCAGTACTGGGATTTGAATTCAGGCTTCATACTGAGCAAGTGCTCTAGCATTTGAGCCATTCTCCTGTATGTTAAAGTCCATAAAAGGGTAGATATAACATGTTTTGTGGCCTAATATGAAGCTTAGATAAGAATACTTCTTGATCTATATTCAGAGCAGCATGGCTGAGCCCAAATCTGAAGAGGGCCTGGAGCAGCAGAGTGTCTTCTGTTACAGTCCAGGCTAAAAGGTAAAGGACTAGTAAATTCAGACTTATTATGTTCTTTGTGTTATTAGTATCCAAGATGGAAAAAGGCTTTGATGAACTTTTTGAAAAACATGCTCTGGTCATTTGCAGGGCCCTAATACAGGGGAAAGGGGATGCCTGTCCCAAGGACTTAAAGTAATGACACAGCTGAAGAGTTAAAAACACATCTGACATATTGCCAGTTTTTTTGTCTTTGTTGGTCATGGGGCCTGAACTCTGGGCATGGGTACTGTCCCTCAGCTCTTCAGCTCAAGGCTAGTGCTCTACCACTTGAGCCACAGCGCCACTTCTGGCTTTTTCTGCTTATGTGGTGCTGAGGAATCAAACCCAGGGCCTCAGGCATGCAAAGCAAGCGCTCTACCACGGAGCCACCTTCCCAGCTCGATGCTGCCAGTTTTGAGTTAAAGACATTTGACAAAACAGTAGGTGCCAGATCCCCTGGCCTTTACAGTGTTTCTTAAAAGCAGGTGATACAATTCCCACATGAAAGATGCCTTCCGAAAGTGGAAAAAATGAGGGAGAGGGTAACCATGTTTGACAAAAAAAGGTACTCATTACTTTTCATATGTAACTGGTACTCCTCTGTACATCACCTTGACACCTGTCCTATCACCAAAGACTGGGAGTTCAAGCCAAGGGAAATCTGTACAGACCTTTAATTAAAACAATCTTGGGAGCTGGGAAGGTGGCTCAGTGGTAGAGTGCTTGCCTTGCATGCCTGAGGCCCTGGGCTCAATTCCCCAGCACCACATAAGCAAAAAGAAAAAAAGCCGGAAGTGGCGCTGTGGCTCAAGTGGTAGAGGGCTAGCCTTGAGCTGAAGAGCTGAGGGACAGCGCCCAGGCCCAGAGTTCAGGCCCCACGACCAACCCCCCCCCCAAAAAAAAAAAAAAATCTTGGATCTTTTAGTTTCCACACAGGAACTATACTTTTCAATATGTAAACATTCAACTCTTAACAGCACCTTAGTTCTTCATTTCCTTAAAAGGCTTCCTGGTCATATAAATAAACTTTCATTCTTCTGTTAAAAAATAAATAAGCTTATGCTTGAGATCCCTTAGAGCCTTTTGTCAGCAGTTCTTGGGTTTGGCTATGTTGTTTGACTGTTTTATTGTCTTTCCTTCTCCTTCCTTATTGGTTTAATCCCAGAAGTCATGTGTGGCTAATAAACCTGGTTCTTATAAACAGTGGCCACTCCTTCCCATAAAGTCAGTCATGGAGAAGGGCAAAACAATACAAGCAGTATATGTAAGATGTCATGTTCTTTATCCTAAGATTAATGAAAGACAATCATTGTGACTGTGGTATTCTTTCAGAAGTCTGACACTGAAATGCATGAAAGATGGCCTTTAATCTATTTAGATACCACTGACTCACTAGTACAGACACTTTTTTTGGGTATGTATTTCCTGCCAATACACAAGTATAAAAGTACTAAATAAGTGATTTTATACACACACACACATACCCTCATTTTAATAGTTTCTAGTACAATGTATTCTGCTGTGGATATTCAATGATGTCCAGTTATTGATGTTCAAGAAATTATAGGCAGTTTTTGAGTCATTTTTCAGACAATAAATAGAAACCCAATCCATATTTTGAAATACTGAAAGCAAGAGACGTATAGCTGGCAACCAGGAACTGGTAACAATTTTGAGGGTGAAGTGATTACCTTGCATTGATCATAGGACAAAAGACTGACATTTTACACATTCAAACATCAGAGGCTACAAACCTGGTTACATAGAGAGAAGTCCCATCACTTCGCATCACAGTGCAGATGGAAGAGGGGTCACCCTTCCCAGAGAGGTCCACTACAGCAGTTCCTTCTCTAGAAATGCAAAAGGTAACTGTGAAGCAACATAAGCTAGACCTCAAAGTCGATTATCTACTCTGGGAAATCAGAAGCCAACGTAGCAATTATCATCCAAGTAGCAATAAGCAAGTCATTCAAGCTATAACTAACATCTAACAAGAACTAGAAATAATAACTATCTATTAAAAGTGGATCTGGCCCAGTGCTGGTGGCTCACATCTGTAATCCTGGCTACTCAGGAGGATCATGTTTCAAAGCCAGCCCAGGCAGGAAAGTCCTTGATACTCTTACCTCCAATTAATCACCAGGAAACTGGAAGTGGCGCTGTGGCTCAAGTGGTAAAGCGCTTGCCTTGAGCTGAAGAGCTGATGGACAGCACTCAGGCCCAGATGTCAAGCCCCACGACCACTACCACCATCAACAACAAAAAAGTGGATCTGAATTAAATATATTAAGTAGCTTGACTTAATATCCTACAATGTGTGTAGATACATACAAAAACATCAAGACACACAATAGATAAAATTTGTCAAAACTTCTGGCAAGTAAAGAACTATTATATATATGCAAGGAAGCAGAATCCCATGGAAATTTACTAACATCTCTGCTTTAACTATGTCCTGCTATTTTCTGATTTCTGCACTTTATTCTTTCAAAGGCCAATTATATCCATTTTCATAAACTGCCTTTAATCTTTTAAAAAAACATTTAAAAAGTTTTAAGAGTAAATTCTACTTTCTTTTTCAAATTCTATTTTGTTAGTTTGTGAGATCTGAGGCAGATCTCACATTTCCTGTTTCATCTTTTTCCTGTAAGAACAGGCTTTTGCTATGGCACAAAAAGTTCTCTGAGCAGCAGAACAGTGCTATATAACAATGACTAAAAGGCTGCATGCAACATTGTTGTCTTTATTGAAAGAAGATAGCAATACCAATTTCAAAGAACACCTATAACTTTACTAAAAATAGTGACCTGATCATACATTGTTTTCTGTAGAAGTCCTTTACTGTCCAGCAACTTTAAAACTTCTTGAAATTTTTCCCGATAAAAAGATTCTCCAGAATATTCATCAAAGTATATTCCTAGGCGCTAAAAGGGTTCATAAACAAGAAAAAAATGTTGGTTACATCTCCAATTATCTTACACTATGACAAAATTAAGCATGCTTTCACACTTGGGCATACAAATGAGGAAAATAAAACTTAGATCAAGTTATTTCTTTGCTGAGACTCCTCAATGCCTCCAAGTATGCCAGTGAACTGCTGTTCAATATAAAGGACACAAGATCCATGTGGCCACTTAATTTAGGATCAAACAAAACTGAGACTGTATATCTCTTTAACTTGCTTAATTTGCTCAATTTCTCCATGCTAGAATGTAAGTTCCAAAATAACAAAGACTTTCATCTCTTTTGTTTACTACTGCATACTTCTCATTTCAAATATTCATTAAATGAATGAATGTACACCTATCATATTCAGACCTGAGGAAGTGAAAGATGAATTAGAAAAAGGAATAAAAGATGAATAAAGTGAAGAAATGATAGAAGGAAAGAAAAACAATGGCATCTGACACTGCCTCAAAATTATTTGTAGCTCAACTCATCGAAATAATCTTTTGAATTCTAATTTTCCATTCCGTGACATCTTCATTTTCCTCATTAAGTGGTTGAACAAAGGAGTTACCATTCAAGAAAGCAGTATGTAAACACAACGAATCTTGATCTATGCCACTCCTTTCATCACTCTCCCTCATCCCTCCCAACACCACCACTTCCCTAAGTCTATGCTAAAACATGAGCTAAGGAGCAGCTTTAGGAAGCAGTACTGCAGTGGAGAGCTGTACATGCCCTTCGGTGGTAAAACAGAATTTACAGTACCTTGTAAATCCGAATGTACTCTTCAATACTCAAGTCCCGAAATCTCTGCCATAGAGAAAGGGCTTGCGTGTCACCCTGTTCCAAACGCTGGAAGAACTCATGTGCTGATTTTGCTATATTTTTATCATCTGCTGCTTCTTTATTAACTTGCACATAAACCTGAAAGTATATTATATTAAGTGATGTACATAACCAGACATTGTTATCTCTACAGCAGAGAGGAAAATAGCTGGATGCCAGTGGCCCCTATCTGTAACCTTAGGTACTTGGGAAACTCGGATCTAGCTGATCAAATTTCTGAAGCCATTCTGGGCAGAAAACTCTCCAAGACTATTTTCAAAACAGCCAGCAAAGGGCTGGGAAGGTGGCTCAGTGGTGGAGTGCTTGCCTTGCATGCATGAGGCCCTGGGTTCGATTCCTCAGCAAAACATAAGCAGAAAAAGCCGGAGGTGGCACTGTGGTTCAAATGGTAGTGCTAGTCTTGAGCTGAGGAGCTGAGGAACAGCGCCCAGGCCCAGAGTTCAGGCCCCACGACTGACAAAAAAAACACTACCACAACAACAAAAAAATAGGCAGCAAAAAGCCAGTTGGAGCCACGGTATGAGTAGTAGAATGCCAGCTGAGCAGGCAAGTTGAGTTAGCATGAGGACCAAGTTCAAGTCCCAGTATTGACAAAAAAAACAAATGCAGCAGTGGTACTCACTAGACACTATGTTGAAAATGAACTATACAACTTGTAGGTAGGGACTGGAGGGAAAAACTGGAAGAGAGCAAGAGAAGGGGTGACACTATCCAAAAAGAAAGGTACTCATTATCTAACTAAATGGTAACTTCACCTAACTGTAAGCCCTCTGTACATAACCTTTATAACAACAATTAAAAATGGAAAAAATAAAGTATAATCATGAGAATTCACAGCTACAAGTGGCCTCATGACAGAGGGTAGCATTTTTCGCCATGAGTTTTTGGTGAAACATGTAGAGCCCTGTCTCCAAATGTTTATAAATGTATAAATACAAAGGATTACAAAGGCTGCAGTAACATGCACTGAGCCACATACGAAAAAAATGAATCTGTGGTATACTGGAAGAAAATGCTCCCTTTCTGATAAAGATAGTGAAAATAAAGAGCAACTTTTTCTTCCCAGCCTGTGCATGGTCCCCTAGGTTAGGAATGCTGGTTTAGACACAACTGGTATTTCTGGTTTCTCATACTGCCACTTCCTGCAACTTCTCTGAGATAGACAAGACAGCAGGGTAGCTCCATCTGGGGAAAGAAAGGCCAACAGAAGATTTAGCAACTGCTTTCATGACAGAATTTGAGATTGAGGATGGTACAGTACGAAAGGGCTTTCGGGTAGGATACTTAAGAACATGTAGCTCACACCCTTCTGGTGTTTCAGCACTATCCATCTTGTTGCTCTGTGCAGCACCCACCCAGTGACAGGTGTGAGGGGCAATGGTTTCGGAAGGACTCACTTCGAATCACCTTCTAGCCTCAAAAATATAGTTACCATAAGTGACATTATAAATATTATAGGATAATGCACAGAAATTATAGACTATAAAATGAGTTGTTAATTCATTTCCAGGTGGAAACATCAATAACAGGTTTCCTACCCCATTATACTTCCTGAAAACTATCAAAGTAATATGAAAGCAACAAAAATTAGTAAATAAGCTAGAAAAGAAGCTTTAAATTTTTATAGTAACATCAAAATACCATGGCAACATTTGAATAGGAAAAAAAAAGATTTAAAAATAATTGACAGAACTGGAGCCAGTGGCTCATGCCTGTAATCCTAGCTACTCAGGAGGCTAAGATCCCAGGCCCAGAGTTCAAGCCTCAGGACCTGCTAAATAAATGAATGAATGAATGACAGGATGCCAGGCACTGGTAGCTCATGTCTGTAACCATATTCAGGAGACCTAGATCTGAGGATCAAGATTTAAAGCCAGACTGGGCAGCAAAGTCCATGAAGATTCTTATTGCCAATTAATCACCAAAAACCAGAAATGGAGCTGTAATTACTAGCATTGAGCCAATGTTGCCCATCTGTTCCTTTGCTGATCTGCTTTGTAGCTTTTCCCGGTAATAAATCACAGCCTTGAATTCTAGGAGTCCTCCTCATTGAAACTGGAGGTTGTTTTAGGAGACCTGACACAGTTATAAAGATTTAATCTCTAAGTGGTGCGGTTAGTAACTCCAGAATACTACATAGAAAGCCAATTAAAAATAAGAAGTTGGTAATGTGTGGTAAAACAGCAAACTGAAGACTTCTTTTTTTTTTTTTTTTTTTTGGGTCCAGTAGTGGGGCCTGAACTCTGGGCCTGGGCGCTGTCCCTCAGCTCTTCAGCTCAAGGCTAGTGCTCTACCACTTGAGCCACAGCGCCACTTCCGGCTTTTTTCTTTTTGCTTATGTGGTGCTGAGGAATCGAACCCAGGGCCTCATGCATGCAAGGCAAGCGCTCTACCACTGAGCCACCTTCCCAGTCCAACTGAAGACTTCTTGTCTTCTGAATTAACTAGCCCTTGACAACTGCTTAGCAGTGCAACCTACACACATACATATATGTATATATACATATATATGTATGCATATATATTTATAATTCCGATTTTTTTTCTTGCTTTGACAGGTGCACATTTGTGTGTACAGAATTTATTATCCATCAAACAAACATAGAATGCCCTTAAATTGATGTCTCATATCTGTATTCAAAAGTTACTAATTCTTCGCAGGTCAACAGGCACTTGGTGTCTAGTACTGTAACATTTCTCATGCTGAAAAAAGTACTTTTTTGTACCTTTTAATGGGGTGATATTTTTCCTGAGCCATTAACATGTCCTCTGGTCTTGCCAGACATCTCTACTCTTGAATAATAATAATGAAACACCACAGCATTGTCCCAGAAAACAGGGGTAGGTAAGTAGGTATGTGGTTTCAGGGAACATGGCCGGATACAGGGAAGGAGAATCTCTTCGTTTGGGGAGGAGCTGGAGCATCAAAAGTTGAGGAGCTCTCAGGGTTGTGGCCATCCCTAAGGAAATGGTTCCTGGTGTGCCTACACAGAGAGGCTGGCCTCTAGACCTGAAGAACTGGGTCAGGCAAGGACCTCTACACGTAAAACAGAGCATATGCCCTTGCTCCAAAGCATCAGGTAGGCTGGGAGACCAAGCATACCAGAGACCAGTGTGGACTGAAGAACAGCACTTGTATGACTGGATGCAGTAAGGGAACAGTGTGGTTTTAGGGTGAGAATCCCTAGAAATGACTTATACTTCCAATCTCAAGTGTGATGGCGGGGCTTAGAATTACATTTAAAAGCTGTCTTGCATGTAAGGATTCTTTAGGAGCAAAATTCCTATCCTTACCAACAATGTTCTCTGAAAAAAGAAACATGACCCAACCTACAAAGAACTTGCCAGGTACCAGCGATTCCATTTGTAATCTTAGCTATTCAAGAAGTGGTGATTTGAGGATTGAGGTTTGAAATCAGCCTGGGGAGAAAAGTCAGAGAGACTCGAGCCTCCAATTAACTAGCAAAGGGCCAGACCAAAGTCTTGGCTCAAGTGGTAGAGCATCAGCCATGAGCAAGAAAGGTGATCAAGAATATGAAGCACCCAAGGCACAAGATCCAGTCCCATTATTCTTTAATACAACTTTTTATAATAATTAGTAACCCATACATATTACGACATGACTTGAATTAACTTAGTCTTCAATTACTCCTCCCAACTCAGCTAGAGTTCAGCAGTGAGAGTGATTATAGTGAAGAGTGAACACTTGTTGGCATGTTTGTGACTAAAATGACTCAGTCTCCCTCCCTTTTTCTTCGTGTGTGTGTGTGTGTTGGTACTTGGACTTGTACTCAAGATCTGATTGCTGTTCCTTAGTTTTTTTTTGTTTTTTTTTTTTTTTTGTCGGTTGTGGCTTGAACTCTGGGCCTGGGTGCTGTCCCTCAGCTCTTCAGCTCAAGGTGAGCGCTCTACCACTTGAGCCACAGCACCACTTCTGGTTTTTGAGTGGTTTATTGGAGGTAAGAGTCTCATGGACTTTCCTGCCTGGGCTGGCTTTGAACCATGATCCTCAGATCTCAGCCTCCTGAGTAGCCAGGATTACAGGCGTGAGCCACCAGTACCCGGCTTCTTCAATTACTTTCTAATGCTTAAGAAATTGTTTTGAGACTCAAACATTCTCTCTTGAGAATAGATCCTACTTGTAGGTTTTCTAGAAAACGAGAGCAAACCTCCCACCCAAAAACCTTCAAATTACTATTATAATCTTGCTTCTCTCTAAGAAGTTTAATGAGGAAGAAACACAGTTCCAGCAAAGCTTTCTGAAGAAGTTTCTCAAGTAAGAGAAAGCAGAATGTTCTAAATGTTTAACTGTTCATCAGCACAGGCCAACATTATTGCCCATCCACTAGACACCAAGCTTATAATTTCTATCACTAACACCTATCTAGTTACCTGAAATGAGGATATACTACCACATATGCCATGTCTGTCACTGGAGGGCATGCAAAGACACCTGACAACTAATAAATAAACTCAGTTGTCCACATGACTTTCAATTTTTCCTTTAGAAACTCAAGAATAGGGCTGGGAAGGTAGTACAGTGCTTGCCTTGCATTCATGAAGCCCTAGGTTCAATTCCTCAATACCACACAAGCAGAAAAAGCTGGAAGTGGCTCTGTGGCTCAAGTGGTAGAGTGCTAGCCTTGAGCTGAAGAGCTCAGGGACAGCGCCCAGGCCCAGAGTTCAGGCCCCAGGACCACCCTCCCCGCCCCACCCCCTCAAAAAAAGGAAACACAAGAGTATTAGCATTTCAGCTAAAAGCTGAAAAAAGGGAAAGGACAAAAATCCTCATTTCATTAGAAGTTGTGGATTAAAATAATTTGCAGTGGATTTCATTTCAAAATGGACCTTCAAAAAATACCATAAGGCTATAAAAATCTGGAGGTGTTTTTATGTAATCTTAATAGAGGAAGGACAAGAGCATGTTGATAGCCCTAATGGTTTCTGTCATTCCCATCAGCATGGTGGGTGGGTCCCACTTGCTTTCTTCTGTCTGTAAATGTAGTGCTCAACATCGCACATTGAGGCTCAAGAACACTGGCTTCAGTTATTCAGAAAAGTATACCTGTCTTTTCCTTAATGTTTCCACCAACCTTTAACACAGATGTCAATCTCCCACTATTCTCATGAATCTCAGGAAGGGGAATGCATTGAAGTGCACAGAAAGAAACATATGCATAGTTTTCTGTGCAGCTGAGAATAGGTTTTAGTATAATATTTAAAATGTTATAGAAACAAAGCTTTACTGCTTGCCAGATTAAAGAGTTTATTTGAGTCAGCATAGAAGAAATGTTAACAGAATAATTTTCATGGCAAACTGTACTGCAAATCAATGGTACTAGGTCTGCAAGCAGGTATTTTTATCTTCTGGGCCACATCATATTCTCTCATAGATCTGATGAAACCCTTGCTAAGCTTGTGGTAAAAATATTTGCTATTATTCAAAGTATAAAAACGTAATACATGGGCTGGGAATGTGGCTTAGTGGTAGAGTGCTTGCCTAGCATGCATGAATCCCTAGTTTAACTTCCTCAGTACCACACAGACAGAAAAAGCCAGAAGTGGTGCTGTGGCTCAAGTGGTAGAGTGCCAGCCCTAAGCAAAAGCAGCTCCGGGACAGTGCTTAGGCCCTGAGTTCAAGCCCCAGGACCGGCAAAAACAAAAAACAAAAAAACCAAACCAAACCAAACAACAACAAAAAGACATAATACAGAAAAATTTCCAGGTACTAAGAGGTACTAAAGTTCTTATTTTTTATTAATCTCTTGTCCATCAATAAAACTCTTAAAAAGATAACTTTCAGTGAACATACATAAAATACAAGCATCAAAGTGCAGTGCAGAGATAAACTCAGGAGAAAATGACAAACCTCTAAAGGCCTTTAAGAACTGGAATTTGTTTTTAAAATAATTGCAAAGTTAGAGGCAAGAAAAAAAATCACATTAAAAAGGAAATGATAAAGTGTTCTTTTTGGCTTTGGCAGAACTGGTATGGGATTATTTTGACAACACTCTTTCTCATGCACAGGAAGGACATTCAAGTGTGAAGCCCTGTGTGTCACCATTATGTCCAACACTGTCTCCTTTGTAAGGCCCACATATAGCAGAGATACTCACTACAGAGTACTTGGCTAAGAAGAGCTTTATTACGCTTTATTACTGAACTACAGGTACAGCTGAAGATAGAAAAATAAACTATCCAAAGAACTCTATCAAGAACAGAAAGGAGTTCACACTATGCAAAAGCTGGGAAGATGAGCTAAATGACATAATGGAAAAAACAAAATCACATAGAAATTGGAACAGAAGCACATGTTGTTTTCCCTAATACAAGAAAAAGAAGAAAGAGCAAGAAAGTATATAGTCATGTTTTTTGTCTAAATGGGGCCATGAAGAAAGCTGTAGTTATAGCAACTGATAGAAATTTCTCTCGTGTCCAATTTATTCTAAGAAAACTCTCTGTGAGAAAGTAACTGCCTCTAGTCAACCAAAATTGCAATGAAAGAAACACTTGGAAATGAACTCTTTAGTAATATAGAAACATTTTCAACTATGTTTTGGAAAAATGATCCATTAAACTTTGGTTCCATGTTTTAATCTACATTTAAAAATTGTTACTAAGTTACATAGTATTCTGAAGAAAATGTTGAACATCCTTCCAATATCATTTCTTGCCAACTCACCTCAAAGAGATGCTGTAAAGGATTGGACTGGAGTTTCTCTTCATAGCCAAATAGTTTGAAGCCTGTTCCCAGAAGACCTACCATGACAATCCATATATAAAAAATTATATAGTAGAATAGATTAACCTACATAAAGATCAATCTCTATTAATTATATAGCATTATAGAATAATGCTAACATTTTTTTTCACCCTTGGTAAAGATGTAAACTTTAAGAAGTATTTTTTGTATTGAACACAAGGATATACTGAATTACATATTTCATACTGCAAATTTATAGATTACTGAAATCACAACCACATTCAGTTTGATGAGACTGTGAACTCATCAAAGGCAGGGGCCAGGACTGTTTCATCTCTAGTAACTGCCCAACACCATCCAAGTTGATAGTAAGAAAACAAACACTGATTAAAAGCTCTTCTGTGAGGCAACAGGAATTAGTGAAAATAAACTACTAGGATTTCACACTTCCTTTAAACTTATAGGTGTTAAAATAAAACATTTAGGTATACTTATTGTTAGAATATTAATTCTTAAACAAATAATAGGAAAAAGATCTTGATTAATTCTCTCATTCAAAGTAGCCAATTGACAGAATTCTTCTATTCAGACATAAATTTACTCTCCTTTGGATATATGTCCAATAGTGGTATGATGAGATCATAGGGAAGATCTATTTTAGGCCTTTGAGGACTCTCCATATTGTTCTCCAAAGAGGCTGTACTCCTTTACATTCCCACTAACAGTGAATTTTCAATCTTTGATAAAGTCAGAGATAATATTAATTTAAGCCTTTAGAAAGTACTAAATGAGGGCTGGAGCCAGAGCTCTGTGGTAAGAACACCTGCCTTGCAAGCATGAAGCTCTGCATTCAAATCCTGATATTGCAAAACAAAAACAAAAACAAAAACAACCATGATAAGTGAGTTCTACATTAAAAAAGTACTATATAAAAAAGTACTATAAAAAAAGTACTGTAAGTGGCGCTGTGGCTCAAGTGGTAGAGTGTTAGCCTTGAGCTGAAGAGCTAAGGCACAGCGCCCAGGCCGAGTTCAGGCCCCATGACTGACAAAAAAAAAAAAAAGTACTAAATGAGGTTTGTAAACTAGGATTAGAAATTCCTAGGATAAAACTGTGAATATTTTTATTAAAAACTCAAGAAATTTATACTGAGAACTTAAAAAATTTATATTAAGAACTTAAGAAATTAAAAATCAAAAAACAATTCTATCAAAAATAAGCAAACTGAACACATAGTTCTTGAAAAAAAGAATTACAAATGGCTAAGATATATGAAAAAGTATTCAACATTCCTTAGTCATAAAGGAAAGGCAAACCAAAATCACACTGAAGTTCTATCTCATTCTAGTTAGATTTGTAGCCATCAAAGAAAACAAAACACAACAAATGTTGGTGAGGATGTGAGGCAAGAGGATCTCTAATTTACTGTTAGTGGGAATGTAAAGTAGTGCAGCCTCTTTGGAGAACAATATGGAGATCCCTCAAAGGCCTAAAATAGATCTTCCCTATGACCTCATCATACCACTATTGGATATATATCCAAAGGAGAGTAAATTAATATAGCAGAAAGACACCCTCATATTCATGTATATTGCAACAATCTCTCTATATATTCATCTATATTGCAATTAGATCAAGAGAGGTGTCCAAGACCAGATTGACAAAGAAATTGTACTATGTGCAGTGTACACACACACACACACACACACACACACACACACACACACACACACACACACACACACACACAATTGCATAGCCATAAGAAAATGAAATCATGTCATGTGCAAGAACATGGACACAATTGAGGACATCTTGAGTGAGACAAGTCAAATGCAAAAAAATATTGTATATTTTCACTTATATGTGGAAGCTAGGCCTAAAAGACTTGTGTACTCATTGACAGGTATTTAAGTATAAATATTCATATATACTATTACTTAGAGGTTAAATACAGAACACGAATCAAGCTTAGAGACTACTCAGAAGATGGGGGAAAGGAAAAATAAAGAGAATCATTAACTATGTAACACATCATAGGTATATATGAGAGCAGCACAGAGAAACTCAACAAACGCTGATGATCAATGGAGGATGAAAGGGAAGAGAAATGACTGGGCAGGTGGGACTAGCAAAAGTGGGGAGGTGGGGGAGGATAAAGACTGAATACTTCTGAAATAGACTTTTCAAACTATGAAAATGAAACAAGGACACCTGCTGGAAACACTATGTCCTAGAAAGAGGGGTGCAGGGAATCTGATAATGGGGGTCAATTCTAATCAGAATACAGCTTTACCATCTAAGATTAAATAATGAAATTCCCACCCTGTATAACTGATGTTAAGTCAATAAAAATTTATAAATATACTAAATGAACTATGGAAACTAGTATTGGAAATTCTTAATACAGACTATACTATTTATATTGAGACTTTACTAAAAGATTATCATAATTTCAGTTTAAAAAGATATATACAGCCTGGACCAAAAGCAGTAATTAAGCAGCTTTACTATTAGGAAAAACTAATGTTTCTGTGACTATGTTAGTTACCAAACTTCAGATCCAAAGACCTTCACGATACTCAAAGTGGAACATGGGTACACACAATACTTTGGAGCTTAGATATCAAGAGAGACAACTAAAGCTCTGATTGCTTTAAAGCAAAACCAAATGTGATTATGACTCAGGGTCCTGGGAGCAGGATATATGTAAAGATGCCCAATGTGTTTTAAAAAAAACAGAAATGGGAAAAGGAAATGCTATTCCATTTAACAATCTAATACATGTTCAAAAACTAATTTTGTACTTAGGACCCATCTGCCAACTTTCACACGAGGATGGCCAAAAAACAGCAAAATTACAATTCTTCATAATGATTATTATAATGGAAATGCTGACAGATCATTAACCAAAGTAGTACTTTAGAGAAAAACCACTATCATAAACCCTGAGGTTAAAATTCAATGAAAAGCATAATTGCATATTTGCTAAGGCTTGTAAAATGTCTAAGTTAGTGAAACTAATACAAAGTGGACACCATCTATTAAGTCTGACTAGTGCTCAGAGCTTTGACTATCAGTTTCTGAGAACTGCCACTGAATTTTCAACATACAGGGCATGTTTTCTGACTCTTTTTCAGTGAACAGTAACAGTACTGGTAACAGGTCCAAGTTCTAATCATTTGGGGGTCTGAAAAAGATTTTTATAAGCTAAAAAGGAAAACATTCATAAGGAGGACATGCTAAATCTCTTCTTCAAATCAACTTTTGGAACCTGTCATTTCACCACACTCGCTAAAGAACATGAAAGATCAGAGAACTTCAGAGCTGGCAATGTGTACTACATACTTTTGTGTACATTCTAAAATATTATCTAGATCTCTTTAGGATTAGCTAATCCTAATCCTCAGGCCAGAATCTCTCACTCTGAGTGCCTCTTATATGCTGGGTATTGTGGATACAAAAAGAACTAGGAAAGGTCACATGAGAAGCTGGGCAAGCATGTGTCTGTGTGTCAGAGAATGCTATGTTTATAGATTGGCACTACAAATGCATCTTTTTTTCTTTTTGGTTGGTCGTGGGGTCTAGGCACTGTCCCTCAGCTTTTCAGCTCAAGGCTAGTACTCTACCATTTGAGCCATAGCACCACTACCAGCATTTTCTGCTTATGAGGAATAGAACCCAGGGCCTCATGCATGCAAGGCAAGCACTCTATCACTGAGCTACCTATCCAACCCTAGGAATTCATCTTAAAACCATCAAGAGTTGGTGTTGGGCCTGGTGCCAAGGGATCATCCCTGTGACCCTCATTACTCAGGATGCAGAGATCTGATGATATGGTTGGAAGCTAGTCCCACAAGCCCTGAGTTCAAGCCCCAGTACCAATATACACATGCACACACAAGTTTGTTTCATATGTCACCAGATTTTCACTACTATAACAACTCTGCTCTCTGACATCTCCACGACCAATTTACGTGAGCTAAAATGTTGAGGAAACATCTGAAATAATCTGTGCTACTCGAAAGTCTGATGCTTGGGCCTCATTCTTTGCCTGCGACCCTTACCCTTACTACTGCAGAGTTCAAAGGGAAGCCAAAGTATCATATTTCATTTTTCTCTGGGCCAATCTCATTTCACGTAGGATGGCCTAGGGAAGCTAGACCTCCCTACATTTAAACATGGCAAGGCTGTGGCTGAGAAGTGTATGTACATCTAATCTCTCCTCTGTATTCTTGCTCCTACATTTAACCAATATATATGTTACTTTTCTTTTTTATAAATTAAAAAAAAATTTTTTGGGGGTCTGGTCGTGGGGCCTGAATTCTGGGCCTGGACGCTGTCCCTCAGCAATTCAGCTCAAGGCTAGCACTCTACCACTTGAGCCACAGCGCCACTTCTGGCTTTTTACTTTTTGCTTATGTGGTGCTGAGGAATCGAACCCAGGGACTCGAGCATGCAAGGCAAGCGCTCTACCACTGAGCCACCTTCCCAGCCCATGTTACTTTTCTTAAAACCACAAAAAAAATATTTCTCAGGCCTTGTTCTAAACATGAGACATTTAAATAAAGTAAGATTGTGGGCTGGCAATGTAGCTCAATAGCAGAGTGTGTGCTGTCTTTACTCGAGGTTCCAGTTTGATCTTCAGTACCACGAGAAAAACAGGCAGGGCACAGTACTTTGTAAATATTCTTTTCAGATGATCAAGTTACATCACCTTAAAAAAAAATTAAACCTTGAGATGAAGTGAAAAAAAAAAAAGCCTCAAACATACTTACCAAACTGCATGCCCCAGTCTCCAAGGTAATTTATTCTTGTTACTCGATGTCCTAAAGCTTCTTTAAGATTTGCTATAAAATTTCCTAGTAATCAATAAAACATTGATTTTGTTAGTTACTTTGCCTTACGTAAAACCTACTCCTTCTGTGGTATCAAGGTTAATATAGAAAATTCTTTTCTTTTTTTTTTGTCAGTCATAGGGCCTGAACTCTGGGCCTGGGCACTGTCCCTCAGCGCTTCAGCTCAAGGCTAGCGCTCTACCATTTGAGCTACAGAGCCACTTCTGGCCTTTTCTGCTTATGTGGTGCTGAGGAATTGAACCCAGGGCCTCATGAATGCAAGGCAATCACTCTACCACTGAGCTACCTTTCCAGCTCCAAGAAAATTATTTTCATAAAATTTACCAACTTAATTTTTTTGTTTTTACTAAAAATTCATTATTGTGTTTTCCTTTGTCTCATAGAAAGGAGGAAGTTATTCCAAATAACTCATTCACAAGAACAGAATTTTCATCATTACTAAAGGGAGTTGGGAACACGTTAGGATAACTGCTATTCCTAGTTAATTCCAAGGACAGGAAATAACAGAATCATATTGATTAACAAGAAAGATAATGACTTGGCTATACCCTAAGAAACTGAGTCACACTATTCTAAGTAACTTACACAATCTCCTTTCAATCACTAATGACTTTCTTCCCGATGGCTGCCCCTCAAATGCACATAGAGGTCCAAGGTCATCACCTTGATATTTTGTTGATACAGCTCTGATATTCAGCATCTGCTCTCTTCCATAGTGCAAAGGCTAGAAGTCTTGTGGTTAGGGTCCAGAAGTTTTCCAGGTTTGGGCAGTCAAATGCATTTTTTTGAAGATTTGGAAGGGGAGTTACTTTGAGAGTTTTTGTTTGGTCCACCTGTCTTGCTAGTACTACTCAAAGAGGTTCTACTTATTTCAGGCCTCTTCCAGAAGACAAGACACAAACAGAGGCAGTTTCCAGATTGTGGGTATTGTAGCTTAGGCCTAGAATGTGATGAGAATGACAGCAAAGAGCCAGAAGCTCCCTTCACAACCGAGTTCTAGGGTTCAGTTTTAAGATTTTTTTGTAATGCCAGATTAACTCAAACCTTCTTTGTAACAAAGTTGTTAGGACAGCTGTTGGGATATCATCCTTTCCTGCTTTAAAGAGGAATGGCTTTATTTTCTTCAAATAAATATCACCAACACATAGGTGGACTTACTATAGCTACTTTCTTTGACATCTTCCCTGTTTGTAGTCCATATAAGTTTCAGCAACACGAACTACTTCTTCAATTGTTACTCATCTTGTATAACTTTTTCTTTTTTCTTTTTTTTTGGGGGGGGGGTCTGGTTGTGGGGCCTGAACACTGTCCCTCAGCTCTTCAGCTCAAGGCAAGTGCTCTACCATTTAAGTCACAGCGCCACTTCCGGCTTTTTTTTTTTTGCTTATGTGGTGCTGAGGAATCGAACCCAGGGCCTCGAGCATGCAAGGCAAGCGCTCTACCACTGAGCCACCTTCCCAGCCCTTGTATAACTTTTTCTTAGTACCTTATTTCCTCACAGATCCAATTAAATGTTGGACTCTAGTCTTTGGAATTAGTTAGCTACTGGCTACAGTACCTACTAGCCATGTGATCTTAGAAAAGTTAATTGCAATGTCTGAACTTCATTCATAAGACAGTTAACCAGAGCAATAAATACTCTCTTCTTGGCCCAATATTTTCCTTAACAAATGTAAAAACCACTTTATCATGCCATACCCACCCCCTTACACATTCCTTTGCTTTTGACTTGTGTAATTTTTGTTATATATTTTTCTTTTTTTTTATTGTGAAAATACTATATAGAGGGGTTACAATTACACGGACAAGATAATGAGTACATATCTCATCAAACATTGATATATTTCTTTTATGTTTTTTCTTTAAGCCTTTTCACTTCTTCTCATAAAATAATGCTCAAGAACTCTGAGACAAAGACAACTATTTCAATAATCTATGCCAGAGTACTAATCTGTCCAGTTTTAAATATACTCAACTAAGGGTTAAATGACTTCTTCTTGAGCATGCAATACACAGATTTCTACCTACATTGAAAGCCAGATTAGAGGAGACAAACTCCAAAGTCTTTTCCAATGCTAATTATACAATTATAACTTGAGTTTTAAATGTTTGAAATACATAAGCATTTATATACAGAAGCATTAAAGCTATAAAGTACTATAGTATCCCTCTTTTTCAGAACAGTCCAGTTTTGAAATAGTTCTTGATGAAATTTGCTTTTCTAAAACAAAATATAGGGACTGGGAATGTGGCTTAGTGGTAGAGTGCTCGTCTAGCATGCACAAAGCCCTAGCCTGGATTCCTCAGTACCACATACACAGAAAAAGCCAGAAGTGCAGCCCTGACTCAAGTGGTAGAATGCTAGCCTTGAGCAAAAGAAGCTCAGGGACAGTGCCTGGGCCCTGAGTTCAAGCCCCAGGACTGGCAAAAAATAAATAAATAAAACAAAATATATTATATAAACAAAAAAAATCTAGAAGGCTACTATTCCCACATAACTTTTCATTTTTGTTTCTCAGTTCTTCATGTGTTTTCAGAAAATTAAAAATTATAACACATATACCAGTTAAAACAGATTTCTGAGTTAATCTTTTGCTTTTGAAATGTTTTAATTTCTAAACCACTTTTCTCATTTTATGCAATATTTAGTTAATGCTAGATTCAAATCAATTGAAACTTTTTTTGTTTTTCTTCTGGTCTTTAAACATTAAATTGTTAAACTGTAGTACAACATATTTTCCCAAAGGCATGCTTAGCATTTTCTATGAAAACAAACACTTACCTATGATAGTGGAACGCAAATGTCCAACATGAAATTTTTTGGCAACATTAGGTGAGCTGCAAAAAAAATTTGTAAGACTTTTTTTAAAGTTCTAAAACAGAGTTCTAGGAATGGATTAGGTCAAACCTCCACAGGCTGACATACTAGGAACCTTTGATAATTTAGAGCAAAAGTAAGTTAAAGATTTCAAATTTAAAGACAAATTAGAATTAAGAGAGAATTGATCCTGTGATTTATGGTGAGTACCATAAACAGAAGTGGCACACTTTTGAAGCAAATATTTTTAAGTATGATTAAAAGGATGAATAAGCTGGGCACTAGTAGCTCATGCTTATACTTCTAGCTGTTTGGGAGGTTAAGACTTTGGGAATCTCAGCTCAAGTTCAGAAAAAAGTTCAAGTCCATCAGACTCCTTTGCAATAAAACTCTGGGCACGGTGGTGGTGCATGCCTGTTAGCTATCAGGAAGCCTAACACAGGTAAATTGTGCTCAGCACATGCCCAGCTCAAGCCCAGCCAAAAATCTAGACCTATCTCAAAAAATAAGGAGCAAAAAAAATCAAGGTACTTGTAGATTTTGAACTGTACAGAAAAGAATGCCTTAGCAAAAAGAGCAACAGTAATTAGTTTCAATTCTTATAGCAAATCCATGATGGATAGCAAACTATCCCAGCCCTTTACTGCAGATCTGACTAAACACATAATAATTCACACTCTTTATCAGGGAGGCACTAAAAATTAGCTACAACAGACTTTTGGAATCTGCAGGTATATGGTTCCAAGGAGAGCACTGAGGAAAAAACCTTGAATGCCTAGGATACAGACTTTAATCACAACTGAGACTGGGACTAAGAGCTTCTCTGCATCAATTCAGCTGAGTGTTCAAAACAGCATGCGATAAATCTGGTGTCACAGGCCTGTAATTCCAGATACTTGGAAGGCAGAGACAGGAGAAATGGGAATTCTCAGCTGCCACAGGGACACCTTGCTTCCAAACAGACAGATGAGGTGGTATACACCTATAATGACAGCCACTTAAAAGAGGCAGAGGCAGGAGGATCACTGTCAGAGATCAGTGGGAACAAAAAGTATAGGACTCAATCTCATAAAAACAATGAACAAAAAGGGGTATGTGTGGCTCAAGTGACAGATGCTTGTTTAAGTGCAAAGCTCTGAGTTCAAGCCCCAGTACCACAAGAAAAAAAAAAAGCAGTCTACTCTTGAACCTGGAGAGACTTTGCTACTTACTTTGTTTAGCAGAATGTGACCTGCTTTTAAGATTGGATGTTTTCACTCTATCTTAGAGCCCTGAGCACCTTTGTAGAGAGGTCTTGCTCCATTGCATTGGATACATGTGGACAGGGAAAGATGCCTGGCCAGATAGGCCAATAGGCTGCCTTAGATTTAGATTTTTTTTTTTTTGGGTCCGGTCGTGGGGCCTGAACTCTGGGCCCGGGCTCTTCAGCTCAAGGCTAGCACTCTACCACTTGAGCCACAGCGCCACTTTCGGCTTTTTTTCTCTTTTTGCTTACAGGGTGCTGAGGAATCAAACCCAGGGCCTTGAGCATGCAAAGCAAGCGCTCTACCACTGAGCCACCTTCCCAGCCCTAGATTTAGATTTCTAACTTAATAAAGCCTTCAGATGAAGAAAGTTATATAAGAGACTACAGGCAAGTAAGAATCATTGAGTTAAGGCCAACCAACAACCATTTCCTGCCAAGTTTCTGTATATTGAAGTGGTTGTTGTTTTTAAAGCAGGACTTAATGAATTTTCTCTTAAGACATATAGGAATTATTTTAATAGATTTTTGGGTATTCACTCTTCTCAGATACTTAATTCAACTCTTTTACTTTATTAAAAAACTGCTTAAAACTTTTAAGCTATTTTTTCTCTTATCGTTAAAAACATACCACAAACACAACAAGGCTTCGTTACATGGTAATCGGATTATGTTTCTAACAATCAGGACTACAGACATGGCCTAGTCTTGCAAACTTAAGGATCTGTCTAGCAAATATAAGAACCAGAGTTCAAACTCCAACATTGCCCAGAAAAAAGAAAAGAATGGTTAAGTAATTAAGAAATATTGTTTTGATTAAAAACAATAGATTACTGGAAATTAGTGTTTTGGTTCCAAAAATCTTTATTCTTTTAAATAAATATTGAGGAACCCAAAGAAATTTTGTTCATGAGTAATGTATGACAATATTTACTGCATCAGACATTAAAGTTGGAAAGTGTAAAATATTTATTCATAAGGCCTCTCAGAATAATCAAAACTGTGACTCATTATTCCTGCTGAATGAATACTATTCCTTTGTGCACTTGAGAAGTTGTAATTCATCATTTAATGATAGCAGATATGTACTACCTGCCGTGTGAGTTTCATGCAAGTTACTTGAGTTAGCTCATCTAATAACTCACAGATATTCTGTTTGGAAAGTGATGGAAAATTTCATTTTTCAATATTAAGATAAAATTAACTTAAACCTAGCTAATTAAAATGGTAAATTAGAGCTTAAATTCTGTTCTATCCCAAAGGTCTTGTTACACACTCTTATAAGAAGTTTTACAATTTGAAAGCTTGATCCTATGGATACATGAGCAAATTATGGGATTACAAAAGTACTAAGACATTTACTCAAATATAACTTCATTTAAAAATAGTATGATAATAAACATATTACTATGCCATACAATGCAAGTTTGCTAAAATGAATTTTAAAAAGTGAGTGTTCCTTAATTTAAAAAGAATAAACATAATCACTAGTGAGTTTAATATCTAAAACATTATATTTTTAATCATGTTCATGATTTAATGATCATTCACTATGATTTTAAGGACATATCATTGGTTTCCAACTGCATCCCTAATCAATTGGACTCATCAAGTATGTAAGACAGGTAGGCACCCACCTGAAGTCAACTACTATATTCCTCTGGGGAAGACCAGCAAAAAGTTCACTTTTTAATCCATATTTTGAGCCATCTTTGATTACTTGTTGCAGCACAGCCTGAAAAATAAAAGTAGAAATGAATGGTGCAAAAGCCTTGTTTTCTTTTTTCTTGTCGGTCGTGGGGCTTGAACTCTGGGCCTGGGCGCTGTCCCTCAGCTCTTCAGCTCAAGGCAAGCTCTCTACCACTTGAGCTACAGCGCCACTTCCGGTTTTCTGGTGGTTTATTGGAGATAGGAGTCTCACGGTCTCTCCTGCCCGGGCTGGCTTTGAACCTCGATCCTCAGATCTCAGCCTCCTGAGTAGCGAGGACTACAGGCGTGAGCCACCAGCGCCAGGCAAGCCTTGTTTTCTTAATTACTTTGTTACTGAGAACTAAATGCTGTTAATTGGCTCATTGCACTAATCTCCCTTGTAGCCCAGCAGAACAGTCCTAACATGAGGTGACACTGATGCTCTACCTGTTTATAAGGCCTATTCATCCCTCCAGATGAGGAAACAGGAGCCAGGAGCTTTGATAGATTAAGCAACTACCTGAAGTTCCACAGTAAAGAGTAATGACAAAGCCAGAATCAGCACTTAATATTTATTGAGTGTACATTGTATTGCAAGGACTGTGCTAGGTATTTAGTTCACATAGCAGCCTTGGAAATACTACTTTTGTACACAGGGAAAGAAAAGTACAGAAAAGGTTAAGTAACTTCCCCCTCCCCTGCAAAAAAAAAAAAAAAAAAATGACATTGCTATTAAGTCACGTAGTGAAAACTTCCCCTAGCTCTCAGTGATTATGTTAATGAATTTCTGCTTACATGTTGTTTTTATGATACTATAGATCACAAATAATGGTAGAAAATGAATAACATAAAAATTAAATGCCTATTGGCTCTACAAGTGAAAAAGAAATCTCAAACTTTCAAAAACATATTCTAAGCAAATTTTCAGTTAGTAACAGAACTGTTATATAATATACATATTCATATTTTTATTACTGGTAATGAGTTTCTCAAAATGGTTCTGTTTTAAAACTACTTTGAAACTTTTTATCTATTCTAAATTTGGTTTCGTTTCACTAAGGATATTTTGAGTCCATGATAATGAAGAATTTTAGTATCAGAGAATTGGTTAAGATGATCCCTAAATGGAACAGCAGAAAAGACAAGAGCAAGTAGTAAACAATACATAACAATCAGAATTTAAGAAGCTGAACAATGAAATGTCGGTGAAGGAGGATTGTGAGCTTCAGGTTAATGAGGGCTACATATAATGAGTTCCAGGCCAGCCGGGAATACATACTAAGACCTCAAACAACTGAGAAAAGTGGGTGAAGCAGGAGTAGGAGAAGGAAGCATCTTGATGTTAGAACCAGGTTAAGTTAAACAAATAGAATATTAATTAGACCAAAGAAAAATGAAATTTAACTGAGACAAACAAGTCTTAGGTAACCTGAGAAACATCGATACAGACCCTAGGAATGGGACAAACTGTGGCCTGGAATTTACTGAAATCTGTGAAGTGAGTAAGAATAAGGACAAACTTAAAAGGCAGAATTTCCTTGTAGAAACTCCAAGTTAGTAATTAAAGGGAAATTCCAGAAATAGAGGTTTGAAGTAAATTAGTAAGTTAAATACCAGGTTACTGGAATTTGGTAGGTAATAGTGAAACTCAGAAAGAGCCAGTTTGATTTTGAGGTGTGATAAGGAAGAAATCTGAAATGTGCTTTTTGCTCTGAGGACTTACTACTTTGTATATAGAGATTGTAATTGCTATTTTACTAACTTGCTTCTTTGATGGAAAGATTTAGGATAAGAACTTTGCCTTGTGACAATATGGCCTTGGTAATTGAAATGACTGGAATTGTAATCACCATTTTGTGATTCATGGAAACTACACATAACTGAATTGTAAGGTCCGCTCCTGGATGGTGAGCAGACTCCACCCTCCTCGCAGCAAAGTCTCCACCCAGTACCTGCGTTACCTAGGCAACTGGGACACCTGGAAGAGGTCACATCTGCATCCGCTGAGGTCACATCTGAATTTGATGTGGCCACACCTTTCTCCGCCCATACCCTACATAAGGCCTAGCCCAGGCCCAGACTCTCTCTCTTTCTCTCTCTGTTCGTTTCTAGCTCTTGCTCTTGCTCTTCTTTTCTAGCTCTGTCTGCTCTCTCTCTGCTCTAGCTCTTTCCTCTCTCTTTCCCAGCCACGTGGAGTGCCAACCTTGCCTGGTCCCAGCAGGTCTACTGAATAAACCTACCCCTTACCTGAATACCACGTGAGTGCTACTGTTCTTACCCCTCTCTCTGCTCTTTTCTAGCTCTTTCCTCTCTTTCCCAGCTCTCTCTCATTCCCAGGCCTTTCTCAGCCACGTGGAGTGCCAACCTTGCCTGGTCCCAGTAGGTCTACTGAATAAACCTCCCCCTTACCTGAATACCACGTGCGTGCTGGTGCAGTTTTTACTCGGCTACCTCTTTTTAAAAACCTAACATGAATGAACAGCAGATCTGCTCAGTGTCACAGGAAAAATATATCAAAGGGAAGTATGAATGCCTCTGTGCTATATGTTATCATTTTGTTGTACTACGTTAAAATACTAATAATTCTGATTACTCAAAACTTAAAAATTTTCTACATGTGGCTCCATTATTTTCAAGCCTTACATAGTGGTTATTTGAGTCTAATGAATTTTTCAGATCACATCAAGAAACAAATTGAACATTCCTAAGGAACTTGTTACTGATTTTCTGCTTTAATGTAAAGCAGATTCAGATCTTCAAAGCTGCAATAGAGAATTTCCATTGAGCACAATTAGCTGCACTTGAAAGCCCTCACTCTTGTGCCTTCATTGAGGGTGGTGGTACCAGGGTTAGAACTCAAAGCTCAATACTTGCTAATCAGGTATGCCATCAAGTGAGCCAGATCCTTCTAGCTTCTTTGTTTTTTGAAGAGGATCCCTTGTTTTTGCCTGGGACTGGCCCCTGACTGTGATCCTCCTACCTATGGCTCCTTCATAGCTTAGATTAAAATGAACACCATTAAGCCCGGCTTGTTAGTTGAGAGATAGACCTCAATAATTTTTTGCCCAGGCTGGCCTGGAAGATGACCATCTCATCTTCATTAGCTGCAATTACAGGAGTGAACCACTATGCCTGTAATTTTTTTCTTTTTGAGAGTATTGCTATGTATGCAAACCTTCTTCTGGAGTGCTGGGATTATAGCAATGCAGTACCACATTCAGACATGGAAATATCTTTGATAAGCAATCTAGTAGACATCTATAAGCCAGAGAAAATCCTCTAAGTTTGTTAACTATAATAAATTATAAAAACTCATAGCCATTAAAATATTAAGTTGGTCACTAGTGACTTACACCTGTAATTGTAGCTACTTGGGAGGCCAAGAACAGAAGGATTGTGGTTTGAATCTAACCTGGGCAGAAAAGTTTTAGAGCTGGGTATCTCAATAGAGACTATTCATGAAACAAAGTTATCTAGCATCTACCACATGCCAGGCCCTAAAAACTAAAAGTTCATCAGTAAGAAAGACATGGTATGAATGGGAATTAGAATTGAAAAAGTGGCATTAATCAAATAAAATGCTAACTATAATTTGTTCTATACAACAGGTAAACAATACTGTGAAAACTACAAATGAAAAGATAAAAACACTACTGCCAAGGAAGGTCCTAAATATATGCAACACTCTACATTCAATCCCAGCATCACACATGCACATATATAATCAAGGGAAAAAAAATATAATGGTTAAGTAGCTATTAACTTGGAGCAGTACTCTAGTACAGGGCACAGTATGGAAACTGATTTTTCAGGCTGGAGGAAGATCAGTGTGGCTAAAGTAGAGTGAAAGCACAATGGTCAGATAATAACTATCTCTTACCTTTGTTAACAGTTCTCGGTTTATTTTAAAATTTACTGTCCTTGGACCAGTGCTGATTTCACTCACCACTGTATCACACTTAAGCTGAAAAGACAATAAATGACATAAAATAGGTATGTTTTATTACAGCTGGATCTTGACTTTGGCCAGTTTCTTCAGTTTCTACATTGGACTTGGAAAAACATTTTCTCCTGACTGCAATTTTGTATTCAATCTTTCCTCTACCTTTTCTTCACCTCAAATTCTCCATCTATCACAAAGCGATACTGTATCTCATTCATCTTTAGGAAAAGTCCAGAAAATGACATTCTGTCAGTGCCTCTGCTAAAAACTTTTGCACCAAGACACAGGAAGTAATTTATATTTTATTTACTAACCCAATAGATATTCAACTCCTTAATAAACCTATGAAGCTAATGATACCTGTCATCACTGAAGAGCCACTAGTCTGACAAATTCCAAGAAATAAGGGAAATGGGTTAAATATTCTAATTCTACTATGGATATACTTGCTAATAAAAATGAGAACATTTTATAATCATATGTTGCTGGCTCACACCTATAATTCTAGTTACTCAGGAGGTGAAAATTGTGAAGCTCACAGTTCAAGGCAAGCCTCCACAAAAGTTGCATGAAACCTCATTTCAACCAACAGCTGGGTGAAGTGTCACAGGCCTGTCATAGTTATGGTGGCAAGCATAAAATAGGAGGATTTTAGCCCTGTCTATCCTAGGCAAAAAGCAAAATCTACCTCAGAAATAACCAGGGTAAAAAGGGCCAGGTACATGGCTCAGGCAGTAGAGTGCTTAGCAAACAGGAAGTTCTGAGTTCAAGTCCACATAATAATATAAAAAAAATATTCAGCTACCCAAATTCCTTTTTTTTTTTTTGCCAGTCCAGGGGCCTGAACTCTGGGCCTGGGCACTGTCCCTCAGCTCTTCAGCTCAAGGCTAGTGCTCTACCACTTGAGCTACAGTGCCACTTCCAGCTTTTTCTGGATGTGGTGCTGGAGAATCTAACCCAGGGCCTCATGCATGCACGGCAAGCACTTTACCACTGAGCCACCTTTCCAGCCCCCAAATTCCTTTATTATACAAATTCTGTAAGTTTTCTTTTCTTTTGTTTTTGGCAAGAAGAGGTGCTGAGATAGGGTCTCATAATGTCAGGCACACTGGTCATGAACTATGCAGCTCAGGCTGATCCTTAACTCTTGATGCCTCTGTCTGAAGCTGCTCAAGTGCTAGGATTACAGGTGTATGCTGCCATGTCCCAGCTTTAATTTATTTTTTCCCATTCCAAATTCTTTGTCAGTCGTGGGGCTTGAACTCTGGGCTTGGGTGTTGTCCCTGAGCTCTTCAGCTCAAGGCAAGCACTCTACCGCATGAGCCACAGTGTCACTTCTGGTTTTCTGGTGGTTAATTGGAGATAAGAGTCTCATGGACTTTCTTGCCCAGGCTGGCTTTGAACTGTGATCCTCAGATCTAGCCTCCTGAGTAGTTAGAATTACAGGTGTGAGCCACTGGCATCTGGCCTTTACAATCTTTTTAATTGTTCTTTTAGAATATAATACCCATCAGAAAACTTACAAATGTAGGTTAAGTCATCTACTTCTTATAATGACTCTATGTCTAATCATTTCTTCTCTTTAATGCTCTTAGAAACTCATTTTAAAACTTGTTACCCACATGTCTACTTTATCAAGCTTTTTCTAAATTCAAACACTCAACTAGCTTCAATGTGTAAAATTAATCAACACTTCAGCTCTCTTGTAAGTACTTAATAAAAACAGTGAACAATACTAGCTCAAGAGGAAATGCTTCAAAAATAATTTGAAAAATTGTTGTAACCTCTAGTATATGGTAAAAATGAATTTAAATGGTATCTTCCAAGATTCTATAAACAAAGAAACACTAAGGAATTCATGCTAGTAGGGCTATTTCCCCCCCTTTAACGTCTAAGGTCATGAATAATGTTAAATAGAGACAAAATACCTTTTCTGCCAGTCTCTTGGCTTGAGCTTGAATATCTGGTCTTGAAAGGTCACTGTTGTTTTCCAGTAAAGACTCCACAGAAAGCTGAAAATCTGCTACTTCTCTATAGACAGACATTGAAAAGAGAAAGGGATAATGTCTTCTTACAAATATTTCTAGTGTAAACAACTGCTAATCACTGTGCTAACCACACCAACACCATTTTATCAGATGTTACATATACAAAACTAAAGGTAAAGGAATTAGTAATTCCCTACTATTTACTCAGAATTTTTTTCTTATCATTTAAATCTTCCAAAATTGCAATTTTATTCTATTTTTGAAATAGGGAGAGATTTAAAATTAAATTTCTCCCTCTTGGGTCCTGCCGCAACTAACAAGTAGGGTTAAAAAAGCCCAGGTATCTAGACTTCTTTTAAAATGCTGCATCTATCTTAATGCTTGCTACTAGTGATCTCTGAACATGAAAGCAAAAGAGTTTTTAAAATGTAATTTGAGTTTCAACATGAAGGAGGGAAGAAAAGAGTATCATTCTTAATACTCAGCTCAGAGGTTCATTAAAGAACACTGCCAATTGACTTTTCTTCCAGGTGAGGATAAAACTGTAAAAATAAGCCCAATGCAACGCATCAACAACAGTAATACTGCTTTATCACAGTTGTTACCCTTAAGAAGGGAGGGGATAGAGTCAAAGTATATCAGTGACTTGAACAGTATTTGTAACATTACTGAAACAAAAATCATCACAAAAGTGAAAGAGGAAGATAGAGCTTTGACAATTTAGAAGACCACTTTCCATTTTCCCTACTAGTTTTTCTGTAGGTTTGAAACAGTTCCAAGGTTTACAATATTTCCCCTTCCCTATAAAATATTTGTGTTAATTACCCACACTAATATCTGATGCTCATGAGCAAAGTAGAAACTAGGCAGAGTAAGATGTATCATGTCTAACTAGTCACATAACATATTCTGGAGGGGCACAAGTGACCTCTTTCATATCACTCAGGAAATTGACTAAAATCCCTGTGTGACTTCTGATTACCATCCCATTAACAAAACTAGTTTACAATGACCATTAAGAATTTTCCTGGGCCTGTTGACCTCTTGAGCTACTTGGAAGACAGAACTGGATCAAAATTTCAGGCTGGTGCCACAAAAGATGAGTGAAATCCTATTTCAATCAATAAGCTAGGTGGCCCAAAACTTTGATCCCATGACATAACAGTACTAATATCCTTATATCTTTTCTAAATTTAATACTGAAATTCTACATTCCTGACATTACCATATGGCTGACAGTATAGTCATCTGCAGGGGAGCTGGTTCTAAGACACATTGTGGATACCCAACTCCCTAGTCACTCAAGCCTATTATATAAAATAGTGTAATGTTTGTATATATCCTACATATATTTTCTGTATACTTTAAATAAACTCTGTATTATGTGTAATGCCTAATGCAGAGTAGATGTTATGTAAGTCATTGTACTATGTTGTTTAGGAAATAATGACAAGGAAAAAAAGTCTGTACATGTTTAGTGTAGATGCTCTTTTCTTTGAGTATTTTGACCAGGCAGACTATGTGATACCGGGCTGGTGGAGAAACTGCATTTTATCCTAGTATTGAAGTTTCCCACTCAAATGGTAAGTATCAGTCGTGCTAACTAAACTCACAAGGAGACAGATATTTCCTTGCTGCTAATACAAAAACAGAATCTATGAGTAAACAATTCTAACAAATGCTTCCTTGTAAATGGTCTAAAAAAATGAAAACAAAACTATGTAGAAGATAAATATGGTACAACAGTATTCAGCCTTTAGTAACTTCAAAAGCCTTGAAGTTATCTCTGTTATGCAATTAAATACTAATTTCACTGGTAGTATAGCAAACACAAAAATAATTAGCACATATCAGATTCTAAAATGCAATTTTTTTGGTGCTGGGGCTCACTGTCCATAAGCTTCTTTTGTTCAAGGTTAGCACGCTACCACTTAGGCCACAGCTCTACTTCTGGCTTTTTTTGAGTATTTCATTGGAGATGAAGAATCAAACTTTCATGCCCCAGCTTGCTTCCAACTGTGATCCTCAAATCGCAATCTTCTGTGTAGCTAGGATTATAGCAATAAGCTATCCATGCTCAACTACAAATTTAATTTTATTAAGTCAATTGGAATTGGTTGAATAAAAAAGTTTATAATTAACTTTAAGGACTAGTCTAAAAATAGAAGCCTAACAAGTGGGTTTTTTTTTTTGGGTCCAGTCATGGGGCCTGAATTCTGGGCCTGGGCGCTGTCCCTCAGCTCTTCAGCTCAAGGCTAACGCTCTACCACTTGAGCCACAGCGCCACCTCTGGCTTTTTTCTTTTGCTTATATGGTGCTCAGGAATCGAACTCAGGGCCTCATGCATGCAAGGCAAGCGCTCTATCACTGAGCCACCTTCCCAGCCCACAAGTGGGTTTGTTTTTTTGTTCTGAATTTGAACTCAGAGCCTCGGCACTGTCCCTGAGCTTGTTTTGCTCAAAGCTAGCACTTTACCACTTGAACCACAGTGCCATTTTTTTGTTTATGTGGTACTGAGGAATTGAACCCAGGGCTTCACTAAGCCACATTCCTAGTCCCTTTGGTTTTGTTTTTTGAATTGCCAAAAAAATTCAACATTTCAAGCTCAATATTTTAAGAAATATACTTCACTTAACTCTTTTTTGGAAATTGGAATTGCAGATATTGACTTGATCAAGTTTTCTGGTGGAAGATCCAAAACTCTGGAAAGCTGAAAAGTCAAAAGAAACAAAACAGGGCAAGACTGTTAGACATATTGGGTAGATTGAATGGAATACTACTTAACACAAAAGAAATAAACTACTGATATATTTAACAACTAAATCTTAAATGCATCATGCTAAACTAAAGAAGCCTGAACAGAGAATTCTTTTGTTGTTATCAAAAAAACCAGAAAGAGAATATACATTTCCTTTGGCATTCTGGAAATTCCAAAACCATAAGGATTAAGAAAAAGATACATGGGAGTTGGAGGTGTGGCTTAGGTGGTTAACGTTAACCAATGAGTAAAAAATGATACTGGCTGTCAAGAGTTGAAGGCTAGGAAAGGGTATAAACATAAAGTACAGAGGAGGATTAAATTTTATGTTTGTAAATTTAAAAATTAAGAAAAATTTTATGGGAAAAGATCAACAATGAAAATTCAAAGATAATCTTCATTCAGAAAGTTTTGGAACCAAGAAACTTGAAACTAGAGGGAAAGGGATATGGGGGCAGGGAAATGATGGAAAGTTAAACTAATCAGAATGCATTGCACACCTAAATGGATATGTTAAACTGAAGCCCCTTGAACAACGATTAGGCATTTCTATAATAAATGACATACATGCGACAGACATATATAACTTATTTCCCAGAACAGCAGGAAAGCACAATAAACATTATCCCCCAACCTATGTTAATTTCCTCAAGACCAAGTAAGACTAATCTAACAGGACCAAACTTTTCATAAAACTTCATTCTAAAACCAGGCTGTCTTACTGACAAAAAAAAAAAAAAAAAAAAAAAAAAAAACGAGCTTCAAAAGCTTCAATAGAAGCTTTACAAAAGGCACAAACCATCCTGTAAGATGAAAATTTAGTAATGAACGGAAAAGACATTGGAGGCATTATTTATGGAGGGAGTATTCTGCATGTAGATGGTAGTTATGGCTCTCCAACAATGTGAATGCAGTTAGTGACTATAAGTTGAAATGGTTAAGATGGCAAACTATGTTATATGTATTTTCCCCACAATTAAAAAGAAGAGCTGAAAGAAAAAGTGAAAAACAGATTAAAAATCTGAAAACCATAGCCAGTGGCTCACACTCTTAATTCCAGCTGAGGGCTGAACTTCAAGTTTCTCAGCTAGCCTGAGCAGGAAAGCCCATGGAACTCACATCTCCAATTAACTACCAAAAAAGCTGGCTGTTGGCCCAAATGGTAGAGGCGCTAGCCTTGAGTACAAAAACTCAGGAACAGAGCTCAGGCCCAGAGTTCAAGCTCCAGGAACACACCTCATGCCCCAGCAAGAGAAAGAAAGAGGTCTGAAAACTTATTTGAAGTTTTTAAAATTAATTTTTTTGAAATTTTTTAAAAAGTTAAACTTTTATTTAAAAAACAAAAACAAAAAGGAGGCAGGCACTGGTGGCTCATGCCTATAATCTTAGCTACTCAGGAAGCTAGGATTTGAAAATCATGGTTCAAAGCCAATCCAGACAGGAAAGTCCAGGAGATTCTTATCTCCAGAAGTAGAGCTATGGCTCAAAGTGGTAGAGCGCTACCATTGAGCCAAAGAACTCAGGAACAGCATCCAGGCCCTGAAGTCAAGCCCCAGAACCGATTAAGAAAAAAAAAAAAGAAAATTTTAATAACTGGAAACAAAAGTATGATGCAGAAAGAAATGAGATTTTTTTTTTTTAAAAAAAACAAAGATTAAAGCAGAGAAAAAAAGAAAAAAAACTTGGAATGAGATAATCAATCCAACCTTAGAAAAGCTGGGGTCCTTGAAAATGGCAGGGAAGTAGGTAAATATATAAGGACAGAGACAAAGTACAAAGCCACAACTTTTAAGTAGATCTGAGCAGCCTCATCTGACTGGGCCCTAACATATTCTAACTTAAGAGCCAGAGAGATACATCAAAATCTCTCTCTGATGACTACTGGATAAGATTCTCAGAACGTGAACTACACCTGACAGACTTTCCTGGCCTCTAGCAACACTAAAGCTCAAGAATGTGACAGCCTTAGAAACTTGCAAAAAAAATTTCCTTACCTTGTGAATGAACACCTGAACTCTATACAACAGATTTCCATCTCTTTCTATTTTGCCTGCCTAATGATCTCCCCAATTCTCTAAGTGACTATTAAAACTTTAGCATCCAGTAGAAAAAGGACGTTATAGCCTATGAGCAGTCCTCAACCATTCATTTCTGTGGCACAAAGGCAACCCTGTTTCTATTACCAAGATACTAAATACAAGGTCAAGAAATATTAGTCTGGCTCTAGACAGGTGCCAAATTTGGTTAGGAGTTAAACTTGCCAGGTTCAGAATCAAATTATGACAACTGTATAAAATCCCCAATTTTGCTATCTTGACTTACGGGCTGAGAAAGCAAAGCATCAACTGAATAACTGAACCAATCTATCTAGTCTAGAAATCGATAGTTCACTATAACATGCCTTCATTATTTCTTTTGTCTTTATTAGCTAACTTTACAATCTTTGGAGACTTGACCTTGTTTGGTATAGAAGCTTCCTGAAAAACGTACCAATTCTTCAGAAGAAAGTAAAGCATCAAGATGCTTTGATGCCTTGCCAAGTAATTTCACCAGCCACATAAACAGTGTTAGACCAAGGGCAGCTTTGGATTATTACTATTATTACTGGTGGGTTGTGGGGCTTGAACTCTGGGCCTGGGCACTGTCCTTGAGCTCTTCAGCTTAAGGCAAGCGCTCTGTCACTTGAGCCACAGCACCACTTCTGGTTTTCTTCAGATTAATTGCAGATAAGAGTCTCACAGACATTCCTTCTGGGGCTTGGCTTTGAACTGCGATCCTCAGATCTCAGACTCCCGAGTAGCTAGGATTTCAGGCATGAGCCACAGGGTTCACAGCCAGCTGTGGATTCTTACCTGGTGATTATCCCTACCCACCTCCACCCTCTGTCACTGACAAATTGGCCTTAAATTCTCAGTAAATCTAACCATATTTTCCTAATTTGAGGCACTACCAAGAGCATTGATGAGGCAGTGTTTTCCTTTACCCAAGAAAGTAGTTAAGTTCAGGTTTGTCGCATAAAAGGTAATGTTGGTGACCTTAGGAAATCTAACACTGCCAGAGCAGCATGGCAGAGGAATTTCCCTTCAAATGCCAAGACAAAATAAAAACGAGCTTCGGTTGAGTAATACACTGGGCAAATGATGGATATTAAGTTATGCACTAATAAGAAGGAAGGGGGTCTGTAAAGACCCAGAGTGGAACGTTTCCTTGCAAAATTTTACAAGTAGTTAGTGAATTTAAAAAATTACGCTTGCTGAATCCCAGATCTCTTCCGAAGTTGTTTTTTTTTTTAAACTGCATCCTTGTAAAGTTGTTCAAATATGACCCTGAAGCAAAAACAAAAACAGTGCCATGGATTTCTTTGAGATTTACCCAAAAACGAATTTTAGGCCCAGACTGTATAAGAGAACACAAGAGAAATAAGTTTCTCTTTAGAACATTAATTCGGATCCATTCTCAATTTCACACAAGTGTGAGGAACACTAATTTCTGCAAGGTCCAATGGTCCCTAAGGCTTTGCACCCAGGGTGAAAGCACGCTGAACTCTGGGCTGGGAAGGCCACAAGCGCCTTTGGGGGTGACTTTTCACATCAATACAGAGGTCCTCCCCGACATTCCCCACCGCACGCAGAGCTCGCCCAGCCGCTCGGGGCCGGGGGGGGGGGGGGGGGGAGCGGGCAAGCAAGGGTCCGCAGAACCGGCGGGATGAGGACCAGTTCAAAGCAGTGAAGGGACTTGGGATCTTGGTCACCCCCCGGCCCGTGCGGGGACAAATACCTGACTGGCAATCGACCTGCGGAAGCCACACGCCATGCCTGGCCTCAGCCAGCGCGCGGCGACGGCGACGGCGGCGGCGGCGGCGGCGGCCGGCGAGTTCCAGTTTTACCTCCCACTTTCCTCCGCACGCCCCGCCCCCTCACGCCGGAAACCCGCATCGCCAGCCAATCAAGAAGCCGTATAGCACGCCACTAACCTTTGCCCTGCCGCCGCGAGGGCGCGCGGGAAACTCCGGCGCACCGGGACGACGCCGAGGTATTCGGACCATGGCTACCTCCTCGGTGTCCAAGGTACGTGGGGGCGGGCGCTCACGGTGGCCCCACCACCGCCTGAGGCGTCTTTGAAGAAGGGATGGAGCAGAGGCTCTGTAGGTTTCGGTTCCCTGGCTGGAGGGGCGGGGTGGCCGACGGAGTTCGCCTGTCTTTGCTCGGGATCCAGGGGAGGCCGACTGTGTGGGGCCGCAGGTCGCGGGTCTCCCTCGTGGTGCGGCCTGGAGGACTTCTACTTTCTGTTTTATGGAGGTCTGTTGTCCCGAGGATGCGCCCTATCATTCTCTACTTGTTCCCTGTCATCAATATGGACTGTGTGCCTAGCACCACGTTAGGTATTGAGATACCTAGATGAGCCGTGCAGACCGGTTTTTGCACGGAAGAAAGACGTTGATTGGACGTTCATCAACTGTGGTAAGTGTTAGCGAGGGAAAAAAGTTCCAAAAGAATAAGAGGAGTGGGAAAAACTTAGCGCAGATGAGAGTCTGCGACGGCTTTGTGAAGAAAGCAGCATTTAGGCTTTACCTGAAAAATGAGTAGAAGCTTGGCAGGTGTAGAGTTGGGGAAAGGGATAGCCTAACACCTTTTTTTCCCCTTAGAAGACAGAAATAATGGAAAACAATCAGGTAGTAGAGAAAGAATAGGAACGTTAGGAAAATTGAGAATGAAAAAGTAATGCAAGTATGTGTGTATGGGGGGAGTGGAGGTTATGTAGACCTCTCAAGTGGACTGCCTAGGTGACTCCCAGGACTACAAGTCAGAGTAGTTAAGATCAATCCTCAAGTTGTACTGTCCAGAGTGGCATTCTTTTGAATATTCATTTGGTATTCAATATTCTTTTGGTATTCATTTGAATTGAAGTACAATTCAATATTCAGTTCTCTCGTAGCACTAAGCCACATTTTGACCTCTTAATAACCCTTGTGACTGTTGCTACTATTTCAGAATAGATGTATGAGATTTCTGTCATTATAGGAAGCTATTCTGGATAGTGTATTCTGGACCATAAGTGCATGGGGAAGCCCCTAAAGTCAAGCTGTCTGATGAAAAATATAGATGAAGAAAGTGTACAAACATTTCTCCCAGTGAATTAATGATGAGTGCTTACCCAAACATCTCATTTTTAACTGATTAAAATGGTCTATGAGAGTCGAAAGAGGAAGTGCAAATCCTGAGGTTTAAAGTTTCAGCAGACTGTGATGCCAGCTTCAAAGACAGAAAAGATTTGACAGTACACATATTTTTATTTGGATGATGATTTTGTTCTTCTCAATACAGATCTATAGGTTTTGAGTGGTCAGTCTTCAACCACCTCTTATTTTTGTGTATCTTACTGAAAATGAGATTTTTTTTAGGAAAGAATACTTATATTGGGATGATTATAAAGTAGACCCAATTAGTTTTTTTTGTTGTTGTTACTTGGCCAGCCCTGGGACTTGAATTCAAGGGCCTGGATAATGTGTGTTTTTGTTTTTGTTTTCGTTTTTTTTTTTGCACAAGGCTAGTGTTCTATCAGGAGCCACAGCTTTGCTTCTGCCTTTTTGGTTGTTAACTGGAGATTAGAGTTTCACAGACTTTTCTGTTTGGGCTGGCTTTGAACTGCAACCCTCAGATATCAGCCTTCTGAGTAGGTAGGATTTCAGGTGTGAACCACCAGTGCCTGGCAATAACAAACTTCTTTTGGAATGAATAGTGTTATTTGAACATTGTTGATCTTCATTTTAATACATAATATTTATGTTATTTTCCACTAAGTCTTGTGAAAATGGAACCATTAGTTAAATTTAATCAAGTTTATTTTCATCTACCTATTAGCGTCTCAAAGAATAAAAGTGAAATAAGTAATGTGCTTTCTTAGAAACCAAGAAACATCTTTCCCTCCTTTTAAAATCTGCACATCCATGAATATTTGGGCACTTTTTTGCTCTGTACCTAATTTGACTTTATGCTTATTCCCCCCCGCCCCCCTTTTTAAAAATTAGGGCTGTTTTGTGTTTAAACCAAGCTTCAAGAAGAGAAAGATCTCTGTACCAATAGGTAAGTGTCTCAAGATCAAATTTGTTCGCTATTTCTTCTCCCATTTCATCTTCAATATGAAGACCTATACTTAATTTAACTTAATTTTCTTTTCTAAGCTTGGCTTTCTCTGCATGTTGCTGTAAAGGGTATATATTTCAGTAGTGATATTGACTGAAGGGAGAAAGGAATACTTCAGGGAATGATCTAAAGGGGAATATAAATGTATACTTAAAAGGAAAGCTGTAAAATAAAAATACCTTTTGGGCTGGGAAGGTGGCTCAGTGGTAGAGCGCTTGCCTTGTATGCATGAGGTCCTGGGTTCGATTCCTCAGCACCACATACGCAAAAAGAAAAATGCTGGAAGTGGTGCTGTGGCTCAAGTGGTAGAGCGCTAGCCTTGGGACAGCGCCCAGGCCCAGAGTTCAGGCCCCATGACCGGACCCCCCCAAAAAAAAAATCTTTTAAGGATTTGTGTGCCATAATTGTTTTATCTACAACTTCTGAAATGAAAATGAAAATCATTTTCTACTAGAAAAGTATATTGATCTTTGATCAAATAAAAATGCTGATTAGGAACACAGATGTCTAGTAATGGAGGAAATATGTATATGTGTGTGTATATGTATATAATAAAACTAATACAGAAAAGTGTAAGAGAAAAAATAGAAATTTGTATTTTCTAATGAAAATTATGTAAAAATATTACTGGATGAAATAAATAATATTGGGCTGTAATGTGGCTTAATGGTAGAGTGCTTGCCTAGCATGCATGAAGCCCTGGGCTTGATTCCTCAGTATCACAGAAAAAACCAGAAATGTCCCTGTAGATCAAGTGAGAGTGCTAGCCTTAAGCACAGAAAGGCTCAGGGACAGTGCCCAGGCCCTGAATTTAGGAGATTGAAATCCAAAGGATGGAGATTCACAATCATTCCAAGCAATAAAAGTCATCAGACTCCATCTCAAGAATAAGCACCAATAAAAAAAAAATTAAAAGAAAAAAAGAATAAGCACAAAAAGTAGATCTGGAGTCATAGTTCAAAAGAGAAAGTGCCACCTGAGTAAGCAGTCTGAGTGAGTGAGAGGCCCCAAATTCAAACTCCAGGATTGGAAAAACAAAGAATCAACTGGTTATAGTATGCCGTTTTATAAATAAATTTGCTGTGATGGTTAATTTTGATTGTCAATTTATTTGGATTAAGAGATACCTAGATGATTAGTAAAGCATACTTCTGGGTGCCACTGATGGTGTTTCTAGAGAAGATTGGATCATGTGGATCTGGACATAATTATTTTATCCATTAATGGATGCAAAATTTGAGTGGACTATTGAAGGATGGTATGGAAACTGTATTGTCGTGGGTGTGTCTAATAGGAGGCAGTGGCTTGCTGGAATTGTGCTTTTTTTTTTTTTTTTTTTTTAATCTTGTTTCTGGCAACCTGAAGTGATCATTCTCCTCCTCCTGATCCTCTAGCTACTTGGATGTTCTGCTTTGTCTCAGGCCCAAAGTAATGGAGCCAGTAGATTTTGGACTGAATTGTCTCTGCATAAAATACATCTTCTCACAGAAATGTCAGTCTAACATAGTTGGCAAGATAAAGAAAAATCATCTAAATGGAAAGATAAAGAAAAATCATCTAAATGGAATTTAGGAATACACTCCATGCATACCAACATATGTTGGGGGGGGGGGGGGGGGAGGAACCTCTGAAGTCCTAGATCTCTTACAGTAATTCTACCAAGATATAGACATACCTAGATTAGAACTAAAGAAATTTGGAATGTGCACCTAACACTTAACTGGTTGTATGGCCTTTGCTCTGGTGTTTCCCTAGGTCTCCACATCTGTAAAGGCAGGGTCTAGATTGGTTTATTAAGATGTCATCCTTATCTCATTCCTCTAAAAGCTAACACATAGTGCTTTGTGAATAGTAAATAATTTGTGTTACTGTGGACTGTCAAGTACCTCAGCCTTGTAGTTTGTGTTGTAAGACTCCCTCTCTCAGCTGAAGGAAGGGAAAACCTGAGAATGAGCAGCAGAAGACATTATGTTTTCAAATGGGACAGAGTTGCTGCCTATATTAATCCTTCACACCTTTTCTACCAGTTTCTGCTGTCAATGTAAAAGTGTCAGTTTCCTGAGAGGAAGTAGTGAGCATTGGTTGTGAAAAGACAAGAGGAAACTTGAGTGTCATGGAATTGTTATCTGTCTTGATCTCCACCTTCAAGGGATGGTTATGTACACTGGCTGACAATATCAAGTTGTTAAAATGAGTATTTTACTTACAAATTATATTTCAATAAAACTAAATGAAAAATGCCTTCATTTGAAGCATTTATCTTTAGACAGTCTGTTTAGTGATCAAGTTAAGAAGACTTTTCAAGCAAATAACATGATTGTTAGTCAAAAAGTGGTTATTAGAATCATTTTGGGGAACTTTTTATCTTGATACAATTGTAGATTCATATGCAGTTGTAAGAAATAATAGAGAGTTCTCTACCCTTTGCCTAGTTATCCTCAGTAGTACAGACTTATATTTAAGTATCCAGTTCTGTGTCTCTGTCTGTGTACGTTGCTGGAGATTGAACCCACGGCTTCATACATGTTAGGTGAGTGCTCTACATCCCAGCTCAAGAGTTTCTTTTTGTTTTTTGGGGGGGTCTGGTTGTGGGGCCTGAACTCTGGGCCTGGGCACTGTCCCACAGCTCTTCAGCTCAAGGCTAGCGCTCTACACTTGAGCCACAGCGCCACTTCCAGCTTTTTTTTTCTTTTTGCTTATGTGGTGCTGAGGAAT